GGTACCGTCTCCAAAGGTTCCTATTTTTTAATAATTTTCAACTAACGTACCGAGTTTGTTAGTGAAGTTGACAGTAGGCTAAGAAAAAATAGGCGCTTTCAAAAATCCACCTTAGAGTACAAATTACTGGTCAATTTGTTGGCTGACCTTGGAGTAATAGAACTGAAGCACTCGGTATGAATTAAAATAAGGCCGCGCCTATTTTTTCTACACTCGAGGGACTTGGTTGAATGTAAGACTTTTTTCCCATCTCGAGCAAAGAAATTCAATAGATTATCAATAGCAAGCAAACATGTCGGCAGATTCTTAAAGCCAGAATAAATTTAACTGATCGAAGAAGGAAATGGGTGATTTAAGATTAGCTGGACGGTGAATGAAATCGCCTACACACAAAGTTGATTATTATGCAATAGAAGTGCACTTTAAATTCTTGAACAATATGGTTCCGACCTAGAAAATGTTCCCTTATAAGAATAAATTGTGTCATAACTGTTATAGACCTTAAGTATATATGGCACCTACTTTTTTAGAAAAAACAGTTATTTGCCAAAATTTTGTGCAAATACTACCCACATTCGTTTGGAATTATAATGAATTAAAACTTAATTTGACACAAAAACTCGTCTTCTTCAGGAAAAACCTTATACGTATAAAGACGGCTTTTTACTTATTAGAAATATAAGTCTAACCGGATATTAATTAATTTAATTCATTTTTAATTAACCGTTAAATCACGTCATTGTTATCAGCCTTATCTTTCAAGATAAATAAATAAATCCAGACGCAAATTAGCGGCGAGGAAAAGTAAATTCCGATCTCAGAAAACCGGCGATTTTCTTTCGCCTAATGCCCTACTCTATGCGAGTTTTCACTTTTTTTTAAAACAACACGGCGTAAATGTAATTTCTCTGTTCTTAGAAAAATACAAATCGAGTTTAACACGAATTTGTACTCAATTAAATTAATGACTTTAGTTGTGTTGAAGTTGAAAATCTAAGATAATGACGTGTCATTTTAATATTATTTGTAACCAAACATGATATGCTAAAGAAGAAAATTAGTTAGGTACGTCATTACATTGAACCGAGTCTATTTTGGTACTTTGCTTGGGTACAAATTCCCAAAAATATCAATTAAATCTAATGAAGGTTATTAAGAAAAGACACTAATTGTGCGTGTTCATTAGTTAGAAAGTAATAAAGGTACCTATTTCTTGTAGTCAGAGGGATTTAAATAAATTTCCCATTAGACATGGTAGTAGGTACCAGTTTTCTACCCTTTCATATCGGTATTTCTGATTCCCCCAAATGATAATAAAAATCACCAATAATACATATTATTACTTATTGCAATTAAATTGCACGGAAAACAAACTAATTAATAAACCGCGCATCAAGGAAAGGATGTGGGTTATGAATCACTTTATATAATAATGAATATTACATATAGGTAGAGTTTCCTACGTGCTTCCCAACACGTTTTACGATAACTTGAAAATTTTTCTGATCTTAGCAATAGTTCTCATTCATTGGGTCACATTAATATTATAATGTATGTTAAATTCAAGAAAGTTCTCGTCTCTCTCGGTCGTACCGATCACGAAATTACAGTTAAGCCGCAATGGTGGACCTCGACTGACCCTAAAATTCTTTGACTTGTAATTTCTGTAGCAAAACTTGTTTCTCTGATGATGGCCAGACTTGAGGAGTTAAAATCAAAACCAATTAATGAAATCATCCCAAAAAACAAGTCTAGCAAAAGGAAACAAGCAATTTTGTGTTTGATGCGTAAAACTATTCATGTTATTAATTTTGTATAATAACTACCTATCGCCAATTACTGGGTGTAGTGTTTGGAAAAAAAAAAAAAAAACAGAAAGGAAATCGATTCCTTTTATTTGTTGAAGCTCGTAAATGTTTACGTTATGGGCATTTTAATATTTGTTTGCTTTCTATATACGATAATAACAATAATTAATGGTAAACAATTGGAATTTTCAACTTTCTAGCTTAGAAAATTTGAATATTACAACAATAGGTCTGTTGCAACATGTCAAAAACCAATGAAAACCGTGTTTATAACTTGTTAATAACTGAACATACAAATTCAAATTGTTACAAATGGCGGCCAAATGTGATGACATCCATATGACATCTTTCAAAGGTGTCAAATAATACGTTTTCTTATTAGGCAATTTAAACCACGTGACATTCAAGATGGCGTGTCCGTCACACATGGGCCAAAAGACACAAAAAAATATCTAGTTTCTGCCCGACTTAGTTTACGTACCTATAGTCAACAAATATTTTATCTACAAGCGTTTGGTTATGACGTTTTTACATAAATATTTTTCCATTATATGAGTTATGTCATGAGGCTCATAACACAACTAGTGGTGTTATGGACAAGGTTATGAATTCATAACACAACTATTTTTGGTGATTTGACAAATGTCAAAGGTAAACCTGTAAAGGTAAAATGAAGGTATACAACGACTAATGAACGAAAATGATTGAAAAAAAATTCTTATTTTTCGCTTTGTAGATAAAAAGTTGTACATCACACGTGCGTTTAAACATGACTACAAAACTCGTGTGATTAGAACGACTCGGTCTACGACCTCGTCGTTCTAATCTTTCACACTCGTTATTGTAATCATGTTCATAAACGCACTTGTAATGTAAATAACAATATTAAATAATCAAAATCAAAGTTGCAAGCAAAATTCTAAGCAAAATAATTTAAAATACGCATAAAAACATATTCAAAACAAACTTGCTTGGCCGCCACGCCATATTGAATTTTCCTTTTTGACAGATGGATTGGATTGCCTAATAGATCGACAAAGTTGATTTAAATTATCGATGTTTACTTTAAAGATGAACTAAATAAATGCAAACTCCGCTGATCAGTATTTGGTGGTATTGGTATTGAAATTTCCTGTTGACTTTAATTTGATTGCACTCAGTATGCGCGCTTTTCTGACAGTTGACAGATAAACAATTCTTTAAACGCCAACTGTCAAAAAATGTGTGCACTGAATGCAAAAGTGCAATCTCAAACCTTAATCGCCATGAATCGAGCCAAAGAATTTTTCAGTAGAATTATATGCCGATTCCCATTTACAAATTCAATGTAAAAATGTGTTATCCTCTTTGTTTCTACAAGCTGATAGAAAAAAGACATACATACACTCAGTGCATACTAACCCTTCCAATAGAATTCGCTATTAGTAGGCTTTGGAAATATCTATTGCCGTATCAGTATTACAGGTGTCCTGGTTGGGCGCCAAATTTAAATGTTGAAATTCTCCAAAGCCTACTTTGTCGCTTGTAAAACTGTCATGTTGCTACATCGATATCGATTACAGCGTTGTCAACTTTAAGAAATGTTGTTTTTTATTACAGGCTCTTGAGTTTTTTTTTTGTTTGAAGACATTAGATGAGATTCAAGAGCCGGTAATAGACAAAAATTGAGACAAAAGCAGAACAAATGTCTTTTTATCCCTTTCTTATACAAGCTGGTAGAAAAAGACACGAATACACTCAGTGCGCACTAACCCTTCCAATAGAATTCGCTATTAGTAGGCTTTGGAAATATCTATTACCGGTCGGTATTACAGGTGTCTTGTTTGGGCGCCAAATTCAAATTTTGAAATTCTCCAAAGCCTACTTTGTCGCTTGTCAAACTTTCGTGTTGCTACATCGACATCGATTAACAGTGTTGTCAACTTTAAGAAATGTTGTTTTTATTACAGGCTCTTGAATTTTCTTTGTTTGAAGACATTTAGTGAAGATTCAAGGGCCGGTAATAGACAAATGCAGAACAAATGTTTTTTATCTCTTTCTTATACAAGTTGGTAGAAAAAGACATGAATATATTCAGTACCCCCCCCTTCCAATATGGTCCAAGAGCCCAGAGCCGCCAGACAGAACTTATTTTCTAAAGGACAGAATATGTGGGATTGAGTAGCACTTATAGGTACTATGAACGTATGTATACTCGCTAAGTTGGGTAGACGGCCAGTTGACTGTTATTTGTAAATAACGGTTTTTCCCATTATGGGAAAAACCGAATCCCATTTCTACTCTAGCCTGGAGTAGACTGTAAGTTTAAGAGGGGGAAATAGATATCTCGCTCACTCTCAAACGCATGCATAGTACCCTCGCGCTCACACTCACGGAAAAACTATTATTGCGTCTGGGGGGATGTTTGGCCTGTGCGATTGGTCTGGCTGAGCACACGTAGTTATGAAATAGTCTCCCCAATAACATGTATAAAAATCAAGCGTTAGAAAAAAAGTTAAAGTACTTCTTAAGCTTTCGCACCTGGTGTCGGTAAATTGGCCGTCTAGACAACTTAGCGGGTACACATACGTTCATAGTACATATAAGTGCTACACAATCCCACATATTCTGTCCTTTAGAAAATAAGTTGTGCCTGGCGGCTCTGGGCTCTTGAACTAATAGCTGTTAGTAGGCTTTGAAAATGTCTATTGCCATGTCGGTATCACAGGTGACTAATTTAGGCGCCAAATTCAAATTTTGAAATTTTCCAAAGCCTACTTTGTCGCTTGTCAAACTGTCGTGTTGCTACATCGATATTGATTAACAGCAAAGTCCACTTTAAGAAATGTTGTTTTTATTACAGGCTCTTGAATTTTCTTTGTTTAATGCCGTTTGCACCGACCATTTTAAGGGAGGTTTAACGATAATCAACCTTTAAAGTGACATTTATACATGTAACAATCAATATATAATGTTTAAAGTGTAAAATGCTGATTATTGTTAAACCTTCCTTAAAATGGTCAGTGTCAGATTCAAGAGCCGGTAATAGACATAAATTGATTCAAAAGCAAAACAAATGTCTTTTTATCTCTTTCTTATACCAGCTGATAAAAAAAGACATATATACACTCACCAGCGCGCACTGAATAATATGAATATACTCTACCCTGAAGAAAATCCAATGTATCAATCAGATAAATAATCATTTCTTACCTTTCTTAGCGTTCATTCGTTTCTTGTACAAGAACAATAAGGCACCCAACAAAAGTAAGGTACCCAAAAAAGTGCCTAGTACCGCTCCAACTATCGAGCCGGCGCCGTAACACGTTCCCGCGCTGTCAACCGTTTCTTGTCCATGGCCTACTGCTATCAGTAGAATCACCGTGACAAGGAACAAGTGAAATTTGACAGTAGCTGCCATTATTGAGTCCTTTTTTTGTTACAGGTTTGTTTGAAGAGAAAATTTTTGTGGTCCATGCATGATTGAGTGGGTCTGAAAACAATTTAAAATATTTTTCATTTATAGATGTTTGATCATTTCCACCACGCAAAAGATAAATAATATGCAAAATATCTTATTGATGGCTATTTAATCAATGATCTAATGTATACTATAGGCTTTGGTACTATCGTGAATTGAGGCGTATTTTTGTCATTGAATTTTAAGGAAACAAGAAAGTACCTACTCGATAAAACTTTTATTATCCATTTGCGATAAAAATCTATAATGGGGTTTCTGAGAAATAGGTACTAAAAATGCCAATAAATTTACCTAGGTATAATGGGTGACTCCATTCGTAAAAATACACAGGAAAACCCTAAAAATAGAGGAAATTTAATTTGCATTTTGGTAGTAAAACTTGTTTACTATGCAAAATTGAAACGCAAATAACCATTCAAGGTTTAAACCAATTTTACTTATTTTGACTTGATGTTTTTGATTGGAGCAAATCGCCAAAAAGCAATTTTCAGAATATTTTCAACCAATGAAATTTGTGATTTCTGTGGAAACAGACCTAACATCTTATCTGGTTAAATCGCTATTGTATTGTATCAATGACCTTGTTTTTTATCTTTCATTATTGTTATTAACTTTTTTTAAACTAATAATTCATGGTTATTTTTTTCTAGAGAGGAAAACTATTATTTCAGAAAATATATTAATACCTCATCAACCAAGACCCATTTTCTTACATAAAATATACATAATCGTACCTAATACAACAGAGTCGTACCGTTCAAGGTCTGTACATTTGCGTACTAATAAATAAACTTCAAAAGTGGTACTATCTAGTAATTTAACGACAAATATTTGCACTGGCAGTTTCGTTACCTACCTACCGGTCGTGGTACCGCATTGCTGCATACGTAATTTAATTGCAATTTATTATAGACACATATTTGCCGAGGAATCGTATTATTGGTAGTACCTATATGGTGCCAATAATGAACAAACAAAACAATGTAGAGCTTACAAACTTATTTAAGTATAACATATTTATGTTGAATTTAAAATCATCAAAAGTCTTCTCTCATTTGATTGTTTTTATTTTTTTAAATTTTCTTAACACCTATTTTTCTTTGTTACTTTATTATTTGTACTTCTATTTTAATAATTTTTTGATTGTTATCATATTCAGCAATGTTTCGTAAAGATTCACCGGTTTTCTTGCAATTTTGTCTGTGGTTGACTACTCAACGATTTTTGTTGTTTTCAATTTTTACCAATTAATTCTGATTTCTTGAAACATCTTTGTACAGTTTTACTGTTCAACTTCAACAAAACAGTCGGGAACAAAAAGAATGGAATTGCAAAAAAAAACACAATAAAAATTTACACACAATAATTATTAATGGTGGTTAAGAACAAACAAAATAAAAGAAACAAGCAGAATCATCAGAAATCGTCAAAAAAACTGTGATAATAACTGAAGATCTGAGAATAAAAACAAATTTACTATGATTAAAATCTATAAAAATACTAATAACACTTTCAACATTCTAAAGGGTCTTGATTCGAAGATAATGAAGACTCTATGTCTTATGAGTTGAAGATTTTTACGTAATTAGATAATTCTGAAGACTCCTTCAGATCTTTGGATCAGTAAATTTACCATATAAATATTGAAACAATAATTTATATTTTAATGCTGATAAAGGCAATGTATCTTTTGTCGAAACAATTGGATTCTTTTCGCTTATCCATTCATGTGCGATAAGAAAATGTTATTGTTTTAGGACAGCATTTTGTTTATCGATAAATTAATGTTTATCTTGTAAATTCTATAAGCATTTTGGACAGGATAGAACAGTAGGTAGGTACCTTAATAATGTCACAATTTAAATAATTAAATAATTAAAGAGTCCCAATAATTAATTAAAGCACTATATAAACCAAAATTTGAGGCAGTATAGGTATACAAACCTTTTCCAATCAACTAAATCCAGAATTATTATCCAAAAATCTCGTCGGATAAAAATCCCATCATCTCTATCACAAACAAACACTAATCAAGCACGTGAGAACACACAAATTAATTATACAAACTTCAAAAATTCTCGCGCGATTATTTTTTGGTATAGGTACCCGAAGTTTTTCTCTCGTACGGTACGGCGGGTACTCGAAAAGCGACTGCGGGTTCTCTCTCTGCTGGCCTACCTGAATGCGCGTTCTCTCCAAAATTACAGGTGGAAAAGTGGTACTGTGTATTATTGTGTCGTAGGCAATCAACAGGTGTGCCGTTGGAATGCGATTCTACGAGGGCAGGTACGAAAAAGGTTCTCATTGGATTGCGCGGGTACCACTTTCAGGAACTGATTTTTTTAATATAGGTTTACTCATTTTCGACCCCTAAACCAAGAAAGAAAAATGCTTCTTTTTCTTCTAGAGGAGAAAAAATTTTATACAAAAAAGTTACTAGCATCATCTTGAAAATATTTGTATTGTATCGTATTGTAAAAAAACATACTACCTTAGGAGAAAAGTACTACTTTCCTGCCTTGGTTTTTACCTAAATAGCTATTTTCTATTTTTGTGAAGGTACCTATATTTATGGTACTTATAAATGTGCATCTAACGTCAAGTAATTTTTGTTTATCCCTGGTACTTTCGAGAGATGCTCTTTGGGTTGGTAGCATCCTCCCCACTTTTTCGGGGCCCCCAAAGGCACGTTTTGAACTTGCTACCTCGATTGACCGACAATAATTATTTTTTTGACCAGCGCGCCGATTTTCATCTCTCTTTTGCTTGCTTTGCGAACCATTTATTTGTTTCTTTTTTTTTTTTGTTTTATGTTTCTCATTTTTTGTATAATTTCTTGTTTATTCCAGGCTCTTGAACTTTCTTTAAGAAGGAAATTGAATCATATTTATTTTCTATATTCAGTTTCTGTAGAAAATCGGTTGTAGATTCACTTTTGTATTTTACACAAGTAGCTACATGCTCAAGAGTTTTGTATAGGTACGTTGATGCATATGTATTGGGTATAACATTTTATCTACGACTACAATAAGTCCTGATGCAAGCTTACTGAATACTGATAGAGACTTTGCTTGATAGGGATAATAAAAAATTATTATCCAATTTGTGCATTTATAAATCAGATGGTTCTACACTGACGTCATAACATTTGAATCTTGAAGTTTTGTAGAAAACCTTTTTGTGGTTGAGTCCTAGATGGCGCCAAGATGTTGTGATTTCCGGTAATTTCCAAAAAAAGTTAGGTTATAGGGACAGGGTTTTTCCATAAAAATAAAAACCATGGAAAATGTAAGTGAAAAATTGGAAAATTTAAAGGTGAATACTTCAGAAAGTGAAAAAAACTCATCGAGTAGCTCAAGCGATTCTTCCAGTGAAGAAGAAGGTATTATTTATTTGTATTTTTTTTAAATTATTTTCTCTAACGCGCGGTTTGTTTACCTTTTGATAAACTGTCAGGTAATGCAATCTGACAGATTATCACGCAATCTATAATCCCATTGGTCGGTCAGCGGTCAGTTAATAATAGGTCTGTTTCTGCAGAAATCACCAACCAGTCAGAGCCGAATTTCATTGGTTGAAAACAGTCAGAAAACTAGTTTCAGCCAATGAAATTCACTCTTGATTGGTTTGTGATTTCTGCAAAAACAGACCTATTATAAAGTTTATCTGAAGATTAGGTTCTCCATTCGTAGGTTGATCGAGTGTACGCCACTGGTATTTTCCTGCCCCCTCAACTTTTCCATGTTAATATGAATTTAATTCTATGTACAGTTTTTGAATAATCATATAGTTTCCCATGGACAGTTTTCCAATAATTGTCATCTGATCATTTAGTTTTGTATATTTTCGTATAAATGTCCAATCTTAGGTCTATCGAGTGTACGCCACTGGTGTCACCTTGTTTCTGGCAATCTCCTTCACCTTTCCTGTTAGAATGAATTTAATCCCATGTACAGTATTTGAATAGTTGTCATTTGATCATATAATTTTGTATATTTTTATATAAATCTCCATTCGTATGTCGATTGAATGTGCGCCGCTGGTGTCACCCTGTTCCTGACACCCCCCCTTAACCTTCCCCATTAGTATGAATTTAACCCCATGTAAAGTTTTTGTGTCACTCTATTCCTGACAACCCCGTTAACTTTCCCCGTTAGTATGAAGCTGATCCCATGTAAAATTTTTGAATAATTGTCGAGAGTGTACGCCACTGATGTCACCCTGTTTCTTACAACCCCTTCAACTTTCTGTGTTAGTATAAATCTAATCCCATGTTCAGTTTTTAAATAATTATCATCTGAATATATAATTTTGTATATTGTCAACTACTTAAATAAATACCACTATGTACATCAATTCTACTAGTGTGTCGACGAGTTAGCATTTATTTGGTATAAATACCGCGCCAAAATCTATTACCGGCAGACTAAGGCTAGTGCAAAGTACCTCTAATGGGAAAAACCCCTCTAAGTCTCCTACAAGTGCAAACTACCTTTAATGGGAAACGCCCTTCTGGGAGTATTGAATGCAGCAGACTAGGTCCAGTGCAAACTACCTTTATTGGGAAACGCCCTTCTGGACCTGTCTCAAACTCAGGTTCAGTCCTTCAGTCACGCCAAGTGTACATAGAGTGGCCTATAAGTAGTACGACCCTCCGTAGAAGAGACGTCATAATTCTATTTCTAGGGTAATATTATTATTATTTAATACATTATCTCATTATACCTATACCAAGCGAGTTTTTCTCTACCTGAACCTCCCTACGCCCCCAGGTCACGCTCCTGTTGGGACGTCCCAGGACGAAACGTATAGAGGTTGTGACAATATTTTTAATACATATTGTGTTTATATCCATTAGATTGCATTACCTGATAGCTGAATGAACCGGCCCTAGCAGTGTATAAACACTGATATCGGAATCATTTTGTGCTCACTAGACACTAGCTTAGTTATGAATATTGTAGTACAGCGTTTATGGACCTATTTGTTGATACAAAATAACTAATTTTTAGATGTAGCACCATCCTTTCCGGTCGCAATGTGGGATTTCAACCAGTGCGACCCGAAAAAATGTTCTGGTCGCAAACTGGCCCGCTTGAAACTCATCAAAACCCTAAAAATAAAACAAAAATTTCCCGGAATCGTGCTGACCCCCACAGGAGAAAAATGCGTCAGCCCTGCAGACCGACACATTGTCAGCAGTAAAGGCATCGGGGTCGTTGATTGTTCTTGGGCCAGAATCGACGAAACTCCTATAGCAGCCCTTAAACCTGCTCATGGAAGACTACTGCCTTTTTTGGTAGCAGCTAATCCTATAAACTATGGCAAACCTTTGCAGTTAAGCTGCGTTGAAGCTATCGCAGCTACCATGTATATAACAGGATTTAAAAAAGAGGCTAGATTTTATTTGGATAAGTTCTCTTGGGGGCATTCTTTTATTGATTTGAATAAGGACATTTTGGAAATATATTCCAACTGTACTGACAGTCAAAGTGTTGTTACTGAACAGACTAAATATATTGAAAATGAACAGAGGTTACAAAAGGACAGGCAAGCTTCTAGAGATTTTCCTTCTAGCTCTGATAGTGAAGAAGATTCAGATGAAGAGAATAGGTAGGTATGTTACAATTTTGTTCATGATTATTGTTGGGTAACTAACAAACCTTCTTCCAGCATAGTTAGCAGAACTTAGAATAAGAAAAAAGCTTAATACATTGTATAAAAAAATTTATATTATAAACATAATATATGTCATTTAGAAAAAAAAAAATGTTTTCTTCAGCAACACTTCTTTTCCTTATATTACCATTCCTTCTACATCATAGTTGACTTATGGAATAATTAAAAGCAATTCCTAAATTCCCTAAACAAAGAAAAAAAAACATATTTACATAATACAAAATTCAATAATTATTCATGTGGCCGTCACTTCTTCCAACGTCAAATGGGCAATGAACCTCAGTCTCAATTGCAAGGGAGCCCTCAGTTTCCTCACAATAGTCTCGATTTCCTTTTTCATGCTGTCACCCACAAACATGTACTTTATATGATACAACAAGTCACAAATCGGATCCATATACTTCAGATCTGTCTGAGATGAATCAACTTGAGCTAAAAGCTCATAAATTGAAGTTGTCAGTTGAACCAGAGCGGTGTTAGTAACGCGTTGTAAAAACGGTCCCACAAGATGACAAACAAACAAAAATTGTTCTTCAGTGCGGACTACTGCTGGTAAACATTCTCGTACCCATCTTGGTACACTAGCAATTTGTCCAGGACCTGCGTGATGCCAAACAGAATGAGCAAGTGCTAGCATATAGCTGAAGCGGTTGTGGAGAAGCCCCAAATGAGTTTCCTATTAAGAAAAAAAATTGTGTCAATACATAATTCAATCTTACAAGTGAAAATTTTACTTTAAAATTAAACATCCTAAAAGGTGAAACATCAAAAGGCCATGAATCCAATTCAGACAGTGTTGCCAATAATCGTTCGTGTAAGATGCTCCAGTAGCTGATTGGCAAGGCGGATAAAATAAGGCCGATGGCATTGATCCATTGATGAATGCTGTCAGACGGTATCATTACATAGCCTTTGGCTACAACATCTAAAAGGCCGTTGGCTACTGCAGTGGGACCCGCCGATAAGGCCATCAATTCAACACAAGTTGTATATAAAATGTGCACTCCAGCGTTTGGGAATTCGTTGAAACGCCAATCGGTTATCGAGTTTGTGCCGCTGAGAATATCAACTACTCGTCTAAAAATATGACATGTTGATGCAAGTTTATTTGATTAATAACTACTTACTTGACAAGTTGTATATAATAATCTAGTTCGGGTGCCCAAACTTCGTCCGAATTCCTATTTAAAAACGCTTGATATGGTTCTGACAAAGTCTCTTTAAGATTCCCTAACACAGCTGCTACCAATCTAAAGTAAAAATTATCAAATTAAAAAAAAAAAATTATATAAAACATACTTTCTCTTCAATGGAGGCCTATCTCTCAATTTAGCCTCATAATAATGCAAAGTGTTGTACATATAAGTAACCGGACGGTCGTGGAACTTGTACAAACATCCCAAATGTTCCAGAAGAATTTCCAGGCTTTTTTGCACCTGAGCTATTTCCAGAAACCTATGCACCACGATGTCGAACACCGGCAAAAATCGCAGACAAACGTTTCCGAAATAAGGATGGTACCCGCTGGACTGTTCTTCTGGAGCGAATTTTTCCGGATACTTGCGATGGAACTCCAAATGCTTTTCGTGCCAATTGGTTTGGTTCCAGTGATCTGGCGAATTGTCTTTGACGAAGTCAGAGACTCTGTTTCTGAATTCGGTGGCTTTAAGTAGGACTAGTTGTATGATGAAGGAGCAAACTTGCGCTTCGCTGCCTTCTTGGGTTCTCAGAGCCAAGCAGAGAACCAAACGATCAATTGTGACAATGTTGTACTTCCAAATCATGTCGTTAATGGTGTCTACGCATTTATTAACATGTTGCCCCCCAGGTGAATTGCTGAATTCAAACACCAAACAATCGCAAAATTTACGTAAATGAGCTGAAAGTGCTCTGGCCCCAATTCTTTCGAGTATCTTATAAGCAATCGGACTAATATGATTAGTCTCTAAAAGCATTTTCCACAACAAACACAAAAACAAGGGCGGAGCCCCGGGTACTCCAAAATGAGCCATAATATCATTTTCATTGTTCATAGAAGCCCATTTACGATTCTCTTCGTCCACAGCCTTCTTCAGTTGCTGTTTATTTTCCTGCGGCACGGCGTGTTGGGTGAAAAACTCCTGCAAAGCCCTCGGGAAGCATTCCAAGGTGTGCGGGGCCCACGCGTGCGGCGTACTTTGCGCTATAGTGGCTAACAGATCGTGGCACCACGTGCCATCCGAACCGGTCACGTGAGTGGCTCTGGCTAAAGTCAGGACTAGGGCGCGGTTCAGTTCTTCGGATTCCGCCGAAACGATCGTTTTCGGTTCTTGTAGGAAGTGGGAGAGTTCGGGTTGGACGTCACTGCTACCTAAACCTATGGATTTAAATGATAAAAGTGTTTTTGGAAATTTATCTGAAAAAAATCTTGAAGAGTAGCCAAAGCAGCTCCCACAAGTCTTGGGGAAAGAGACGAAGGATTCTCAAATAACTTTCACACCAGATTAAGGGTTCATCATCAACTTGGTCAAATCTTAATGGAAATAAAGAAAGAGGTGAAGGGAAGATTATGATGAGGAAGATAGAGTTGAGGATAAAACCAATTTTCAGATTAATATACAAAAAAATGCAATAATATCAATGACAAATTAGGACATAAGCAAAGTGTAGCAGTTTCAACAAGTCTTGAGGAAGCATAAAATAAAACTGAAAAAAATTTATACATGAGTATTCAAATGCATATTCAAGAAATTATTCATCTACTTGGACTTGGCAGAATCTTAAGGTTCATGAGCTAAAGATATGAAGACTGAAGACGTTGAAGATTGCTGATGTGTGTAAAATCCTTAATTTGAGCCCTGAAACTTCTAAAGAGTCTTAAGACTCATAGGAAATGTGAAATTCCAATTTCTTATCTACTAGGAGTTAGGAAACTTGTAGAAGTAAAATTCAAATTCCAATAAGACAATCAATTTTTTATATATCATATTCAGTCATTCCCGGCTCTCCTAACGTGAAAATTGTACTAAAAAAATTACCATTCAAAGCTTAAGTCAATGTAGAAAATTCATAAAGGAAACTAGAAAAGTTTCATTTCCAGTCTAATGTGTACTAGAGAGATGTGAAACTCCAATTTCTGATCTATTAGAAACTAGAAAACTTGTAGAGCTAAAATTCAAATTTCAATAAGGGAATCAATTTGTTATATGTTATAAGAGTCAGAATTCAACTGGAATAAGCATTAGAATTTTCTTCCCGGCTCGTCTTCCTTCTCATTGTCAATTTTGATCTTTTTCCAAAATGACATTGACACACATTTTTGCTCACAACTTTTTTAATTTCAATCCGATCCTGATACAATTAGGCTTGAATTAGAGACAATTGAATCCTCTACAAATCTCTATTTGGTAGTTTCAACGCTGCTTCAATAGTTCTCAAGCTGTGTAAAACGATGAAATTTCAATTTTTTTTTTTGTCAAGATTTTGTACCTAATGGTCAATCAACATACCCCAAACTCCATACGCTAAATTATTCTCAGATTTGAAGCTGAAATCTATAAAAAAAGGCACTCAGAAAAATTGATAAATCACCCCAAATTGCTTAACACGAGTTTATCTCAGGAACTATAAGTGCAAATGAGCTGAAATTTTCAAGGATTGTAGTCCCTTAATTGAGATATAATTCAGTGGAAGTTTCAGCTTTCTATCTATAATAGAAAAAAAGTAATGACCTTTCAAAGTTTTCCAAAATCTAAATCATAAGGTAGGTACCTTCTTACTAAACGATAAAGTCCAAATCTATGAAAAAAGGCACTCAGAAAAATTGATAAACCACCTCAAATTGCTTTTAGTAGTTTCTACCAAAAAAAAAAAGCTTACCAGTTATAAGCCTTAAAGCGGTCGATTCAACACACAAATGCAGCTGAGTCTGATTGGCTTGAGGCACAGCAGCTAGTGAATGTAAATGACTCAACAGCTGCACCCTAAACATCAAAAACTTTATCAAAAAATTCAACAACTTCCCAAAAAATCTTACCTATAATGCGGATGTATATGATGCATCCTATAACTGAACATCTCCAACAAAGTATACAAAGTGCCCCAAGCATGAAATTTGTAAACTTGAGGCAACAACTGACTAATAAACCCCTTAATCCCTAAAGATTCGATTTCAGTGTAAACCAACAGTCTACTGTAAGTTTCCACTAAGGCCGGAGCCAAAGGACAACCTGACTTACTGCCAGCCAGCTTAATGACATAAGTCACTATACTATGAATCAGGCTCATTTTAGAATGAACAGTCAAAGAATCCAAAACTGCCATGCTTAAAGGACAAGTGGGTAGAGGACAATTTGGAGTGCCCGTTTTGGTGTTGCCTTGAATGGTTTCTACTAAAGCAGCCATAGGTTTGCTGAAGCATTCTTGATTTGTACTGTAAGCGTTGCAAAGTAAGGCTATTCTATAATCATTTCCCATTGCCAAAGAACTATTACTTGGTGGTACCAAATGCTGCAAAAATTCATGGTGGGACCTTAGTTTGTTTGGCAAAGGCCAACTAATATTACTTTGTTCTGATTGGGCCTGAAACATTAACAATTAATTTTGTTTATACATATATTGCAACCTAATTAAATACTTTTTTGAGTAAATGAATCCAAATACAAGTCATAGCCATTTGCCTTGTACATTGAGGCTGATTAAAATCAGGCACTGCTAAAGGTAGCTCTTGTTCTGGAAAGAGAAGCTCATAGAGTTTTAATACTGGTAAAAAATTAGCCAAGGGATTTCTTTGGATAGATCCTGAAATAAATTGCAGCAAAACCCACATCAATTGATCTCTGCCGCGACGCAAATCTCTACCCTAAAGATTTTAATAAAAATTAAATGCTTTGAAAGTTGTTACAACTCACTTGTAGTCTTGTATGTAAAGACATGACGATATTGGGAAAACTGGCAAATTGAAATAGGACAAAATAAATTAATTGTGAGGACAGATGAAGCCATAGACCATCTGTTTCATCTCCTTCAGTTTCTGTACGTTCCAAAGCTGAAATTACTAACTCCACTAATTGTTCTTCAATAGCTTGACAGTGTTGCTTGTGTTGTTTATTCAAACATAGCATTCCACATACCTGAAAACAATAATAATTAAGCAATTTAATCAAAATATATATATTCATTAATCATTATTACCATGTCTCTGCTGTAAGGTTGTTCTAAAACATAACGCAAAAGTCCAGTTTGTTTTTCAAGTAATTCCGGTTCATATGGAAGAGTTCCTTTTAGGCCAAATCTCAAATTTAATGGATCTAATTTCCAAGGATTGACAAGATGTTCAGGACAGCCACTGTGTTCTACAACAGGACGCATTTGGGAGTGACCAATTATGGTAAGCATTTGAGCGCAAGGCCTGAAGCTTTCTATGTAATCAGAAAACAAGGCTGCCAATCTCCAATGAGGGCATTCAGAGTAGACTTTTTGGAGTTCATTCACCAATAAGTAACCTGGTAAAAGGCACGTATTTCTGTCCATTATTTTTTCAGCAACATCGAACAAGGCTTGAGCTTGAGGTTGAATGCCAGCCTTAAGCCTTAGCGGCAAGACTTTAGCTTTTTCACAACATCCTTTCATTATTTCCCTTACACCTTTATATTCAACTAATTCAATAACATTTTTAATCAGCTTGAAACAATAAATCCAAAAATGCTCGTTGCAGTAATGCAACTGATCTAAAGTTATAATGAATTCGCAAGCTTTTCTTGCTTGGAGTGAGCCTTTTCTTATACAGTGCTCCATCAATTCTAACAGTACCTGCATTCTACTCTGAGCACTTCTCAAAGCCACTTGCAAATACTGCCTCAGGACGATGTCCAAATGGTCGGGATTCAATGTTTCGAAGAACTCGCACAATTCTTGTTGCCATTTCGATAAGTTTTGGGCTTCGGTTTCGCTTCGGTGCACCAGAAAACAGCTAAATGCTTCTTCGATACCCTCGACTCTGAGGATATTGTTAAGGATATTCAGCACGGCGTCCGCCATGGTTCGAATTGATCCTAATCAGCTTAATTCATAGTAATTTTGGTTTGGGGCACACAGGTTCATTAAACCAAGACACAAAACACAAATAAAAAAAAGTGTGGTTATGTTTGTTTACATTTGATTATTTTGGTAAAGTGAGCTGTTGTGCAAACATGTTTGTCTTTTTCTAGCACCAGCAGTTAGAAAGAGATGCCTATAGAACAATTTGATGAAAATGACAATTTAAATGTGACAACGTCGCTGTTGGTTGAAAAATCAAAAATTTATTTCAAATTTTAAAAATGTACCCATCCGAGAATATATTTGACCATCTGAGTCTGAAAATAGGCCAATTATGTTATGGAAAAACCATAGTAGACCCAAATGGTATTTCCAAGCTTCTGGACGAGCTAAACTCCGTCAACTATCGGATTCCAGTTGTCCAAAACCCCACTGTAAGTTATTTTTCAGGTTATGATTTAGGGCTTCAGAGAACAATTTTTGTCTTGTATTTATTTATTTTAACGTATCAAGGGACAAACCAAATATTTAACAATTTTTACAGAAGGCAGTACTTTTGATCAATCAATGTTGCTCTTCTATCCAAGCAGATGATGAGATTCTTATACCGAAGTGTGCCCAGCTTATTGTTAATTTGGTTAAATATCAGAATGTTTCTGTTGAAGGAAGAACATTAACACTCAGCTTACAAGTAAGTCAATGTTATATACTGTTTATTTTTCCCTGTCTGTACTCCAAAAAATTGTATTTAACTTGCCTTTCTCTGATTTTTCTATCTTTCCAGGTTTTCCTGATTATCCCCTTTCTATCCTGCCCTGTGGTTTTCATGCTATCACTTGTAAAGATTCAATCCAAGCCCTCAAACATTTTCTCTCACATCTCCTTTTTTTGGAAATTTATTTTGGTCTAAAATGACATTGACACATATTTTGCCTCACAATGTTGGCGTTTCCGATTGGTAGATCTAGAGCGGAACTAGTGCAATTTTTTTTATTTCTGTCTTTTTCTTCTACAGCTTGATAAAAAGGATGCGAATACACTCAGTGCACGCTGAATCTACCAATCGGAAACGCAATTAATTTCAATCCGATCTCAATGTTAGGGCACTTTCGAAAATTCACCGGTTTCTGAACCGGTGCGATACCGGTTTAATAATTTACTTACCAAACCGTTCCAAAATGTACCGACTTTTCACCGGTTGAACCTAATCGTTCGTTCCAAAATTGACCGGAATGATCAGCGGTTTGAAACCGGTGAGGCACCGAATCCACCGGGAATTTTTGTGGGTTTTTTCGGTTGAAGATTTTTTGACACTTTTTTTTTGACGTACCATCGTCACCAAAAGTAACTGGGACAGCATCACATTAGCTCTTGACAAACGTTACTAAATAAATTACATTTAAAAATTTAAATTTGCCGCCTGTTATGAATGTTTTTGAAAAGAAAAGCCATCAATTTTAGCTTGTATTGGGCAGAATAGAAATAATAAAATATCTACCTATTTACTTTCATCAATCAGAGTCCAGAGAGAGAAAGTAAACAAACAAAAAGGATAGCGAGGATCAATCATTTAGCTACTTTTGTTTTTAATGTTGACAGCCCGCTAGTAATTTTTGTTTTCTTCTTTTGGCAACTATGTTCGCGCACCGCAATATGGCGTCCAAACAAAAGGTCAATTAAATGCATTAAAATGGATGACAGTAGAACCTCTACAAATCTCTATTTATTTGGTAGTTTCGACGCTGTTTAAATAGTTTTCAAGCTGTGAAGTAGGGTTGCCACCTTTTGATTTCCGAAAACCCGTACATAATCGAAGCTAACTTTTTTTTGTAACATAATTTACACTCGTATCTCTAAAATGAATTTTTAGGAAAACATTTAAAAAGGTACCTACTTAATTTCAAACGCCACCCCTCGTAGTTACGGTCTATTTTAAATTAAAAAAAAAACCAGAGACACTTGTAAGTGAACAGGGAGAACGACACAATACATACTTACATATTTATTTGTTTTACTAGGCAGAAAAGTACAAGATTTAATGCCGCAGCTGGTGTTTCATAGCCGAGGCTAGGAAACCGCTGCTTTTCTGCTATGAAAAACATATAATTTTTTCTCCGAATGTTCAACTTCACACATGGACATCTTTTTTAAATTTATTTCATTCATTATTATTATCCAAATAATAAAATTATTTTGACAATTGTTATTGTCACCATCAATTTCAAATACCAAATTGAGTGAAATTATTACCTAGAACGTTGTGACACTGTCACTTTTAATGCCTAGGCAGTAAAAGTCCACTTTTACTGCCTAGGCAGTAAAAATGCAACTTTTGATCCTGTCAAGTGTCATTAAAAGGCCGCTTTTACTGTCATTCGAAGAAAAATAACTATTGTTTTATTAGGCAGAAAAGCACAATATTTAATGCCGCGACTAGTGATCCATAGCCGAAAGCGAAGCGAGGAAACCAGCCAAGGCATTGAATCTGATCTTTGCCGTGTGAAACATATATCATTTTTTTCCCGATTTTGTTACAGTTTTCACGCATAATCTACCTACTTTTTAATGTTTATCAATTGCGCTGATAACGTTTATTGAATGGGAAGCAACGAACTTTTCTGCCTAGGCAGAAAAAGTCTACTTCTCCGTCGCTAACTAGAAACCGGAGACGTTCGTGACACACCCGTCATTCAAGAAAGTAGGAACGTTCAGAAATTAGTTGGGTATATCCTAAGGCGTTCGGCAATCGCCTTTATAAATTTTATATTAAGTAATAATTATTATTAATTATATAGTTATCCAGATATTCCCGGACATTTTCATCATGCGTCCGGACACCGGACAAACCTTTGAAAAACCGGACAGTCCGGGTGAAAACCGGACAGATGGCAACCCTACTGTGAAGTGAAGCTTCAAAGTGTTTTTATTTGGATTTTTATCAAGATGGATAAGCAGAAGGAAAGGACCCCGCACACCTCTTATGGGATTTGGGACTTCCGCCAAATTTAATCAAATTCTAATATGATATAAATTTGACCTTCCTGATCAATACTTAGCATTGGCCCAACTTGATCCTATGACTAGTTTTTGAAATACAGGTAGCTTAATGCCCAAGAAATGTACACATTTTATAAGCATTTACATCTACTTGTCACCTCATAATATACCAGGATGGACAGGTATCCTCACGCTCACATAAAATGTGTACATTTCTTGAACATTAAGCTACCTGTATGTCAAAAATTAGTCATATAGGATCAAGATACAGATAAAAATAATCACTTAGCCACAACATCAGAGGAAAAAGCCAATATGCTTGCCCAAATGTTTTCCTCCAACTCCAACCTAACAGTGCCAAACGGAAAAACTCCACCGTTCATTGAAAGGGTTTCCCATAGTATGCCAGAGGTACCCTTTTGTCACAGAGAAATACGAAAATCCCTAAAAAAGCTGGATACAAACAAAGCAATGGGTCTGGATGGCATTCCCGCAATAGTACTCAAAAATTGCGCCAACGAACTCACCCCAACTTTCGCAAAATTATTCAATTTGTCTTACAGGCAAGGAGTATATCCATCATCATGGAAGTCTGCCGCAGTACAATCCATTTCAAAGAAAGGAAAAAAGACAGATCCGTTAAACTATAGACCAATTGCTCTACTTCCGGTGATATCAAAAGTAATGGAAAGAGTTGTGAACAATCACCTAACCAAGTACTTGGAAAAGTACAAAATTATCAACGATAAGCAATACGGATTTCGAAAATATAGGTCAACTGGCGATTTACTTACATACGTCACTCACTTATCGCAAAAAGCGATTGAGTTGCGGGGTAAAACAAGAACAATTGCCTTAGATATATCTAAAGCATTCGACAAAGTTTGGCATGAAAATCTGCTCAATAAGCTCAAAGCAATGGGGTTATCGCCAAAACTTTGCACTTGGTTTGAAAGTTACCTAAAGGACAGATCCATTTATGTTGCACTGGATGGCCAGAACTCCAACTCTTCCCAAATAAATGCTGGTGTGCCACAGGGAGCAATCCTTTCGCCAACTCTTTTCCTGATTTACATAAATGACCTCATAGATAAAACAGTAAATCCACTTTATTGCTTTGCAGACGATGGCAATGTAGTCTCCTCACTCATACCACCCACAGGTCTTTCCGCACGTGAATTCCATCATCTTAGACTAACTCAAATATCGCAGATAAATAACGATCTGGAGATAATAGAGGACTGGGGTAACAAAAACCTTGTACAGTTCAACGCGCAGAAAACCCAAGCAGCTCTGTTTTCAAAAAAGACCAGCACCGGTGAGCCAAACATCATGCTATCTGGAAGTGCTGTCACATTACAGAGTCAGTTGAACATCTTGGGGGTTACTGCAGAGACCAACATGTCTTGGCACAGTCACGTGGCATATATTGCTAAAAGGGCCTCCCAAAAGCTGGGGGTGCTATTTCATACAAGACATCTGTACACACCAAGCCAATTGCTGACACTCTACAAAGCCCAGATTCGACCAACTATGGAGTACTGCTCACATATATGGAGTGCAGCACCCAAACATACCTTAATGCTTTTGAATACCGTGCAAAAACGAGCTATCAAGCTGATCAATGACCCCGCACTTACTCGTAACTTGGATGGTCTCGAACATCGCAGATCTGTGGGCGATTTATCTCTCTTCTACAGGTACTATCACGGAAAATGCTCTGAAGAGTTGGCACGTATGATTCCACCGAGAGTAGCACCTACCAGGCGAACCCGTCAAACAGACGGTAACCATGAATTTACTGTCAAACTAGTGGCACCAAGAACCTCATTATATCAGAATTCATATCTCTGGAGAACAGCATCGCTGTGGAATAAACTCCCTGCGACGGTTTTCCCTGCAGGTTACAACCTGAACCGTTTCAAGACCAACATACACCGACATTTCCGCGCACTTGCCGCTTCTCGAGCGTGATAGGACATTTCCTTGCGAATGCGCATATCCGTAAAAAAAAAAAAAAAAAAAAAGTTGGGCCAATGCTAAGTATTGATCAGAAAGGTCAAATTTATATCATACTAAAATTTGGTTAAATTTGGCGGAAGTCCCAAATCCCATAAGAGGTGTGTAGGGTCCTTTTCAATGTTTTTCATAAATTTCGATCCTTGTCGATGAGCACAAGGAAATTTGTAATTTTTTTCATGTTTCGATTCTTTTCCTCTCTATTTGCAAAATCCCTGCAAAATTTTCCTCAAAGAGAAATAAAACCTTCTCATTGTCAATTTGATTTTTAATTTCTATTCGATCCTGATGCAATTAGGCTTGAATTAAAGACAATTGTATCCTCTATGTGGTAGTTTCAACGTTGCTTCAATAGCTTTTAAGCTGTGAAGTTTAAAAGTGTTTTTATTTGGATTTTTATCAAGATGAATGAGCAGACGGAAATTTTCAATTTTTTTTATAAATTTCGATCCTTGTTCTCTCTATATGCAAAATTTCAATCCAATGCCTGCAAAATTTTCTCTGAAGAAGAATAAAACCTTCACGTTGTCCACAGAATGTTGTCAATTTTGGAACTTTGATCTTTTTCCAAAATGACATTGACACACATTTTTGCTCACAACTTTTTCAATTTCAATCCGATCCTAATGCAATTAGGCCCCAATTAAAGACAATTGAATTCTTAAAAAATCTCTATTTGGTAGTTTCCAGTGGCTTATCGAGGGGTGGGGCAAAGGGGGCAATTGCCCACCCCCAGAGCAACAACATTTTATTCCTTTTATGTATTTCTTAAAAATATCTCAAATAACAAAAAATAATTTTTCTACTCGTGTGCACAGTTATTAATTTGAAAACTTATTTGCGTGCGCAAAGTTGAACTTTGCGCACGGAAACTCTTTGCGCACTCATTTTTGTTTCACATAATTACCGTATTTATTTACCGATTTTTCAATGTTTTGTGGGTTTCTGGATTAACTAATATTCAAAAAGAAGAGCTTAGTGTTATTTTTGTTCCAAGAAAGGTATTCAGGTAATGTTTAGCATTTTTAATTTGACACTTCCCGTATGAAGAGCAAGGGGAGGAAAAATCCAGAAAAAATAGGTGTGAGGTCAGGTGACCATTGGCGTGGGGAGCCACCAAGTTATCAACTCATATTCCTTTGGAGTATCGGATCATAAAAGTTGGACATAGTAAGTTATACTCCTTCATATACTTCCCAAATTAATGGTTTTGCGGAAAGAATGAATCAGACACCACTGAACAAAGTGAGAACTATGATAATGCAAGCAAAAATTGATAGGATATTTTGGGAAGATGCTGTACTTGTTGCTATGTAAAACTAATTTGAAAAGTCAGATGGAAAATATCATTTTGATAAGTTTAGTCTCAAAATTTGGCAGGAAAAACAAATTTTAAGTAAACCTCGCTAGCACAACCACTGTTTCAAATAAAGTCAAGCTGATCAATCGATCACTGAAAGAAAAAAACATACAACTAAGGGCAAAATTTATAGACGATCCTTGAGGCGTCCTTGAGGGTGGTCTATCAAGTTAACTCTAAACGTACCTACAATGCTTCCTCGAGGTCCAAACTCCAAGGAGACCTCAAGTAGTGACTATAAATTTGGCCCTAAGAGAGAAAATTACCAGCTTTGAGCATCTGGAGACATTTAAGATTGTCCCTAATCTCCTCTGGATGCTATGCAAATCTTTGAACACTCGAAGAAAAAGTATTGTCATTGTTCCTAAAACTTGCGCAAAGTGTTTTTCTCACACTGAAAGCTTATCAGGAGTCTGCTTCTGAATTTACCTTTAGTTTGGTCTTGTGTTTTGTGTTTTATGTTATTTGTTCTTTGAAAGTCGATTTCTCAGGAAAATAAATAATTTCAGTTATAAACCTCTTATCGTTTCAATGAGCAGCCCAAACATTTTTTCAGTGACGGCTCACAGGTTAATAATACAGAAACATAACACTACGTTATTTTTCGGTAAAAATATATTCTTGTCCTATAAGAGTATGTATTAGAAGCGCACAAATATGCCATCAAGATGTGTGATTTTAACGGCTTTTGGGCGTGGCACCTCAAAAAATTTTCGCCCCCGGCGGGCAGCTGGTTTGCCCCCCCCCCCAGAACCTCGGACTGGATACGCCACTGGTAGTTTCAATAGTTTTACTTGGATTTTCATCAAGGTGGATGAGCAGAAGGAATTTTTTTTTTTTTTTTTTTCATAAATTTTAATCCAATTCCTACAAATTTTTCCTCAAAGAGAAAAAAACCTTCTCATTGTCAATTTTGGAACTTTGATCTTCTTCCAAAATGACATTGACACACATTTTTGCTCACAACTTTTTTAATTTCAATCCGATACTAATGAAATTAAACTTGAATTAAAGACAATTGAATCCCCTACAAATCATTATCTAGTAGTTTCAACGCTACTTCAATAGTTCTCAAGCTGTGAACCTCCAAAGAGTTTTTACTTAGAGATTTATCAACCTGGATGAACAGAAGGAAATTTAATAATAATTACACAAAAGTGCTTTTACAAGTCAGGAAATGCAAAGTACAGATTTCTTCATATCTATATTAAACAAAATGACCGTGTTAACAAATCCAAATCAAGTAGGTAACTTATATTAATATACATGGTGTCCCACGGTGGATGGCGTATTAGACGTTTATGGAGAACTAAAAAGCGGATCATTTTGAAAATTTAGCAACCGGAATAAATGACCGTGATCTACACTTTAAAAATATTTTTGTTCATGCGGTGTTGCCGCTTCTACTCTAAACCAGTGGCAACATCGCTATTTTAAATGAAACACCCCGTATTTAATTGCATATTTGGCTTCTACATTATGGTCGTTTATCCCGGTTGCCAAATTTTCAAAATGATCCGCTTTTTAGTTCTCTATAAACGTCTAATACGCCATCCACCGTGGGACACCCTGTATTTATCCTGCATTGTGTATTAAAATTGTGGGTAAAATTTTGATTAATAGCAATTGCAAGACAAGGGACGATAACCGACAATACAGACACAGAAAATTCAAGATCAGACAGAACAGTATTGAACTACCTAATCAAGAACAAAATCACCATCAAGGTACTCCTCGAAAAAGTAGAATGCACCCTGAAGAAGGTATTTTCTAATTTTTCCAATGAATTTTCTCTCCTCAAGGTTTTTGATATTAGCAGGAAGAGCATTAAGAAATCTTATCCCAAAGTGATCTGAAACCCCTTCGAGTTCTTTCCAATTGATGGAAGCTGGGTACTTTGTCACGATTTCTGGTTGCACATGAGTGGACGTCTGCATGAGTCAGGAAGATTCCCTGATTTCTTTTGACATAGATAAGGCAGTTCAGTATGAAAACACAAGGGAAAGTCAAAATCCGTAAGCTCCTGAAGCTACCCTTACACCAGTCTCTGTACTTTAGACCTGCTATTACTCTTATGCACCGACGTTTTGGAGTTTAAAAATTTGCTTGGCTTTTGGGGCATGACCCCAGTTTAGTATTGACATATTCGAGCCGAAGCAGCCATGGTAAGCTGTAAGTACAGTGGAAGTCTAAACACTCCTCGAAAGGTTCCTTATCAGAAATGTAATTTTGGATAGCTTAGTGCTAAGGTTGTCCACATGAGCTTCCCAAGTGAGTCCTAGGTCGAGAAACACACCAAGAACTTTGACCCTCTCGTCACTAGGTAACTCACTCTCAGTGGTTCTTAAGATTTTGGGTTTTGCTATTGTTGAGACTGAGTTTGTTGGCTAAAAACCAGTTCTCAATTTTTGATTTGCTGTTTTCTATGATGTCTTTGATAGGTTCTGACTGGTGATATTGTTGTAAGGTCGTTGTGTCATCAGCAAATAGAATAACTAAATGATTCACAATCTCATAGAAATTTGGGAGATCATTGATGTAGATGAGGAAGAGAAGAGGGCCCAGCACAGAGCCTTCAGGGACGCCATGCTTGATCCTCTGCCTGCTTGAGCTCGCATTATTACAGAGGCACATACTGTTCTCTCTCCTCCATGTAGGATCTGACAAAAGCTACGCTGCTTGGACGGAATTTGTAATGCTCAGGTTTGTTAAAAAAGATGTCAAAAGAGATGCAGTCAAAAGCCTTTGTCAAGTCCAGGAAGAAGGCATAAGTATCGCGCTTTTCCTCAAAACCCTTCGCAGCAAACTCAGTTAGGCCATTGATTGCCAGGGATGTTGATTTTTTGTTTCTAAAACCAAACTGACTTTGGGTAAAAAGATTACTACTTTCACAGTAGTTATTCATTTGATCTTTCATTAATGATTCTAGAATTTTAAAAATTATTGGCAAAAGAGAGATAGGACGATAGTTATTGTAGTTGTCAGGGTTAGAGTGTTAAAAAAATTGCAAAGTTTGGATTCAATATAATCCTGAGTATTTACAATTGCCCGCCAGTCATAATCCATTAGCTCAATGTACAGATTTGATAGACCCTGATCGGTAATTGGTCTAAGGTTAACTCTTCTACTATGAATTTTTCCTAGGTTAAAGGGTGTAGGGGACTAGGTGTAGTATTAACCCGCCTGTATAGTGCTAGCTAGTCCTCATAAGTAAAATATCTGTTTATTTGTGACCAACCTATACTGCACTTTACCCCCTAAATCAGTGGTTCCCAAACTTTTTTAACCTACCGCCCACTTTTAGAAAATGGGAATTATCCAACGCCCCCCTTGGCAGGGATCCAAGATATTGAAGCAGCGCCATTTTTTTTGAAAACTTTCATGGTGGTGCATTTTCCTGGCGAGGGACTGAGCGTCCAAGTTACCTCCCCAGTAGGATTTTGTCAGAAAATTTTGAGAAAAATCGGATACAGCACAATTCAGCACACTTCAGATTGCATAAGAATCCATTTTTGTTTCAATCTTATTTCCAAAATTTTGGGAGGCTGAGCGTCAAGTTAGTCCCCCCAGTAGGATTTTGTCAAAAAATTACCAAACATAGAAATTTTGAGAAAAACCTGATACAGCACAATCTAGCACACTTCAGATTGCATAAGAATCCATTTATGTTTGATCTGCTTCACAATTTTTTTTTTTGGGGGGAGGGGCTGAGTGTGCCCTGGTCCCTTTTTTTCTTACTTCAGTGATGATTCATCGATTAGGTATAATAATATTGAGATAAACAAATCCTTCTATCTTCACTTACTGAAATGCGCAAAACACCAATTTCAGATTGTTTCGAAAATGTGATGAAAAATCTTTTGAGAATGATTATTATTCGAGTGGTAAAAATTTCCAAAACTACTTGAAAAAAGTGGAAAACAATTATAATGTTTTTATGTAGGTACCCACTGTATACTTATTATGCATCAGACAATTACTATGTAGATATATAACTTTTCAATTGATCTACATTGACCAAATATATGACCAAGTCGTCAAATGCCAAATGGACGCTTCATAGACCTCTTAATACAGGGCATTTATTCTGAAGTGTCGTTGATAAATATAGTCCCAATAAAGTGCTTCACTTTTCAGTACTTCAATAAGTTCAAAAAGATTTGGTTTCTGATGTCTGGTTAACTTATTATCTGTTAAACAAAGAAATATTTAAGGTGACCAGGCTTTACTGCATATTTATGTAGGGGGTAAAGTGCAGTACAATAAAAATACACATATTTCAGGTGACCAGGCTATACTGCATTTTTATCGTAAATTTTTAATTTTTTTCATAAGTTTCTCTTTCTCCACTTGAAAAACTTCAATCCATCCCAGCTAATTGATTTAAATAATTTCTAGTGGTGCATAGATGCAACAAATAATTCAAATAGAGTTATTACCTTGGAGGCACTCAGAGCTTTGGAAGCTTTAATAAGACATAACGTGCAAAAATGTCCAATCAAAGTAAGTATTGTTCAATCTAGCCTAGCAAACATTTCAATAAATTTTCTCCAGGTTTTAGATACAGTCATAGAAAAACTTAAAAAAGAAATTCATTTGGAAGTAATTGGCAAAACCACGCAAAACTCCAAAGATATTTTACTGGCAGCTTTGCAATGTTTAGAATCATCTACTGTGACCACACCTGAGCTTAAAAATTGGACTAACTTTTTTAAGCACTTTGAAAATTGTGCCCAGATATTTATTTCGGTTTTGTGTTCAAGAAAAAGCTCCAGAGATTCAGTGGTTGACATTAAAGTAACAATCTCGATAATTGTTTTTGGCAATAGTCTAAAAATTGTTTTGTAGATTTTGGAAACTTGCCTTTTGGGACTTCAAAATATCGCTTTTATACATCGGGAATTTTTGAAAAAAGAATTGGGATTGATTTTAGGTGTTGTCAAAACTTACATGCTGTATGGAATAAGGGATATTGAGTTTCTAATTCCGGAACGTTTGAAACCTTGTACTTTGAGTATACCTGAAGTTACACATGCTGGAAAAGAAAAATCTGGTGGAAAAGTAAGAAAGAATTTTGAATTTTGGAAGTTCCTTATGAAAATGTAGCCCTTAATTCTTCACTAATCATATTCAATAATCATCTTAATTCACCATATATTTCATTCAGGTTACCAAACAAAGAAAGCACCGCAACACTCCAAACAAAAAGAAAAACAGAAAACCCGATGAAGAAACTCAATTTGAGCCTAAAACTAGCGGATACGTGCCAGCAACAGCTACCTCAGAATACAGTTCTGATAGTGGATTAGGCCAATCTTTTTTTTTAAAAACGTCAGATTCTGATTTTTCAGACAACGAAGGCGGCAAATTAGCAAAACTATCACACAGCTCCAATAAAGTAAGACAAGCGGCCCTCAATCTCTTTGCTACAATCATCAAGGTAAATATTTGATACACATAAACACTAGTTTCAAATGAAACTTTATTGTAGCATTCAGAAAAATCAACAATTTTTACTTATTGGTCCAATTTCATACCTGACAGTTCATCTTCTGGCAAACATAATCTATTAACTTGCGCTCTAAAAGATCCTTCCACTAGAGGCAAAATGTGTGCCTTAAATGTACTTTTACTATTACTCACTAGTGCCAAAATGTATTTGTCTTTAGCAGAATCAAGGTAGGATTACCTACCTACTTAACTTAAATACCTATTATTACATATTTGTATTTATTTCAGTCAACAAACATCAAGTTTCACTCCATTCTCAGTGATTTTGGGCCTAAGCTTAACAGAACTACATAAAAACTTTTGCCTGGCCTTAAACCAACTCAATGTGCCAGTATTGACGCAAGTCCTAAAATGTATGGCTGCTTTAGTACAGGCCACCCCCTATCATCGCCTGACTAGTGGTTTAATAACAAAAGTAGTCAGAAACGTTAAGACTTTAATTTTCCACAGAGACGCTTCTGTACAAGTTACAGCCCTTATTGTTACAGGATGCATTTTGGCTTTTGAGCCCTCACTGCCTGAAACTTTAGAAGTTATGACCCAAAATAAAACAACTAAAGATACTAAAGATACTGCAACTCAAGCTAATACCAGCGATGATTTTGATTTTGCCCAATTTTCTTCAGATGAAGAAGATGATGTTTCTGAAATCGATCATATGCCTTGGCTATTGCAAAAGTGCCTCAAAAATTTAGGCATTAACGTTGAAAATCAAAAACATATAGTTCCTGCACCTGTAAAGCTTGAGTCACTACAAGTTTTATCAGCAATGAGCAGAAACTATTTCGAATCTCTAATGTTTCCTCACTTGAACCAAATCACAAAAGCTTTGGAAACATCTTTGATGGATGCGCATTCGGATTTGAGGCTTCACGGTGCTAGAGCTGTGGAATTTTTGGGCCAAGCCCTAGGCAAGATAAGCGAAAACTATTTATCTACTACAGTGTGTTTGAATTTTTGGCAAACTCTATTGAATGGGCCCTTGGTTGCTTTGACTCAAAACGAACAAGTAGCTTTAAGGGCCATAGGCTGTGATTGTCTTGGCAGTATTGGAGCACCGATATTTCAACAATTACCACGAGATAAACAGATTTTGTGTGTTACTTTGTTGTTTGCTTGTACTAAAGATGCAGAAAATACTGTTAAGGTAAGTAGTTTTTATTGATTAATAATTTTAATTGTTTGTTGATTTATTAGGGTGCTGCAGTTAGAGCTCTTGCTTTATGCGTGCTTTATCCTTCATTGAGAGAAGACCCAGGATTTGTGGTAGACACTGCAGAATGTATTTTACATGCCCTTGAAGATGATAATGTTAATGTTAGAGTTAAAGCGTCGTGGTCCTTAGGCAATCTCAGCGATGCGTTAGTTTTGAATAGCAAATCTTGTGAGAGTAATGAAGACTCGATTCCGGAAACGATTTTGGTTAAATTGTTGGAGGCCTCTATTAAAAGCGTCAATGACAATGAGAAAATTAAAATGAATGTTGTCAGGGCTATAGGGAATTTATTGCAACTTATGGATGATGAATTTTTGAAGCAGGAGAGATTCAAGGGAGCTTCTGAGCGAGCGTTGAATGCTTTGGTTAAAGCCAGCACTAGTGGAGTGAATATGAAGGTGAGAATAATTATCGTTGGTATTGTATTTATAAATTAGATTATACAAGGAATTTTGAGGAATTTAAAAGAATTTGTTGGAAATTTGGAAGAATTTGTGGCAAATTTGAAGGAATTCATGGGAAATTAGGAGAATGTATGAGAAATTATGGGAATTTATTGGTTTTAACACTAAGTATAAAAAAAAAAATAGAAAAATATATTTCTTATTACGAACAGTTTTGGGAATTTCCAGGGAATTTGCAATAAATATTTGCAGGGAATTTGCAATAAGCATTTGCAGGTAATTTGCAAGCGGTTTGAAGGAATCTTTGGGGACTTTGGAGGAATTTGCGGGAAGTAAGTTGGAGGAATTATTTGCACAATTTTAGGGGGGAAGTTTACTTTATAGACCCTATACACTTTAATGAAAATCAAAGTAAAAAAACTTTGAAGCAACAGCTAAAAACTATCTAAGCTGTATGAGATTTTCAGGGATTGTGGTCCTTTGGAAGAGATAAAATTCAATCAACATACCCCAAACTCCATACACTAAATTATTCTCAGATTTGAAGTCGAAATCTATGAAAAAAGGCACTCAGTAATGAAAATCAATGTAAAAAAACCTCGAAAAAACTTTGAAGCAACAGCTAAAAATTATCTAAGCTGTATTGAAATTTTTCACTAAGGGTTTGTAGAGGATTTAATTGGCCTTATTTCAAGCTTAATCACTTTAAGATCAGATTGAAATTAACAAAGATGTGAGGTAATGTGGTTCAATGTCATTTTGGAAAAAATCAAGCTTCAAAAAACGACATTGAAGTACGTTTAGTTTTTCTTTGAGGAAAGTGTCTGAAGGATTGGCTTGAAATTTTGCAAGTGGTTGAAGAAAGAATTGAAATTTAAGAAAAAAAAATAAAAATTTGTTTTTACGTGCTTACCTTGATTAAAATCAAACCTGAAAGACTTTAAAGCTTTGCAACTGTAAAACTATTGAAGCTGTATCAAAAATATAGATATTTATAAAGGATTCAATTGGCTTGAATCCAAGCCTAATTACATTAAGATCGGATCGAAATTAACAAAGATATGAAGTAAAATGTGGTTTAATGTCATTTTTGAAAAATCAAGTTTCAAAAACGACATTGAAGGACGGGGAGGCGATTTATCCCTTGAGATTATACTTAAGCTTCTATCTGATAGCTTCAGTAAAAAAAAACAAATTCACTTTACGTGACTCAAACTTATTGAAATTCTCTTATTAGGTAAGATGGAATGCTTGCTATGCCTTGGGAAACGTCCTTAAAAATCCTTCAATTTACACGAATCTAAACCTCAACACCTGGCAAACATCGGCTTTCACGAAACTATCCGACTTGGTGGTGAGCTTCAAAAATTTCAAGGTAAAAAATTAAGTTAACTATTAATCACAATCTAACAGTAAAACTATACAGGTTCGCATTAATGCTGCCTTAGCTCTATCAGCCCCCACAGCCAGAGAGCATTATGGCATTCATTTCATTCCCCTTTGGACTTCCATGTTGCAAGCCTTACAAAACTCACAAAACGTCGACGATTTCGTGGAATACAATCATCGAGATCATTTGGTGGAACAAATTTGCCTGTGCCTCGGACATTTGACCAGCCTTTTAACGAAACAAGATCTGCTTCAATTGGAATCCACTTTAAATCTTTACTTTGATAGTTTTAATATTCACATGAGTAAAGTTTTAGAAAGACTGGTGCCGGAAAAATCGACTGAACTTTCTTCTGCCGCATGCGCTTTGGCTAATTTGGACTCTAGGAGTGATATCGGTACTGAAGAGAAACAGGTAATAGCTTGTTTGAGGACGATTTTTATGCCTCAGTGATTTATTTATTACTATACATTGTATTTTATAAAACTAAAATAATATCGTTTTTTTTTTTTTTAAATATAATACTTGTTATGTCCCTCTTATTATTGCCTCATCACATTTTGATTATTATTATTGAGACACCAATAAACCAATCCCTGGTATAAGGGCAATACCTTTCCACAAAACATCATAGAGGGCTTTTACTGGAGGCAACCAACAACTCAGCAAATAGAATAAGTAATAGTACATGGAAAATACAAATAGCTTATGGACGACATACAACACTTTCTGTTGTGCCCGGCATCTAGGCAATGAAGATAGAGGCTCTTTCATACAGTACTGCCTGGCACCTAAAACGCACTGTTCCAAATACTGGTCTATAGGTATCGCATGGAAATCCATTGGAAAAGCTTTGCGATCAACTTCGTCCATCTAAAAACACTTCAATTGTGTTTATCAATATTAAAATTATTTGATTGTAAGTACCTCGTCCCACAAAGCAAGAAATTTTCCATTGGAAAACCTCCATTCTCTCACAGTGAAAAACTGAAGCAGCTCCAAGCCATGGTGGATTTTTTTTTGAATGTGGATCATGCTATTTAGAAAAAAAATATACAATAAAAAAAAATTCTAATATTATTACTAGTATACGTACAATCTTTTTTGCCTTATAAGCAACATAATGAAGTCAATCAACAAAGCAGGCAGCCAATGCATAAAAATGCAACATATAGTGTGCATAAATAAAGAAGATCTTATGTCACCGTCTGGGTACCAAACTTGCATTTCAAACGGGTTCCTGTGCACTATGGCTCGGCCTTTATCCAAAACTTCGCCCATTGTCATGTTGATTACGCCGTCTTGGGTCAGATTATAAACTGGCACATCTGAATCTTGTTTTCTATTCAGCAGCAATAATTTATTTGGATGAATGAGGTTTGAAAATGTCGTTACCTGTTTCCTAATTTATAAGCAATCACAATACTAGCATTAATGGCATAATCGACTGGTATAACTTGAGCTTTGTTTGATGCAAGACAATGCATTGATCTAAGCACGCCTTTGCCTGCAGCTACTAGCAGTCCCATTGGTCCATTTAAACTGTCCACCCATCCAGGGACTGGTTCCAGTCCTGCTGGACACACTGGAATAATGTTTCAAGGTAAATATTTGTGTAAGTAAGTAAGGATTTTGTATTACCAACTGATGGCCTTATTATGCAAACAGGTATGTTATCTTTTTCACTTGCAACTAAAGATTCAGCCAGTCTTTTGCTGTAAGTATATGTGTTGGGGTGCGGCTCAATAATTTTTTTGGTGGCAATTTCCAAAGCTTCAGGTTTCATCCATCTGACTACATCAATGACATTTCTAGCATTATCCTTGCACTCGTACACCTTAAATTTTATTGTTAATAATCCTGAAACTAGATTATAGATAATCAATTCTTGCCTTTTCCTCAAACACTTCAATGTCGGCCGAACAATAGGCAGTACTAAAATGACAAAACGCGACCAAGTTTTTGATTTTTTTGGCCACGTCTAGTACTGTAGCAGTACCGGCGGTGTTTTGTTCGATTGCGTCTCTCAGGGTGGCTTCCAGTTTCAATGTGGCCGCCATGTGGAATACAATGGAAACGTTGTTTATGATGAGATCAAGATCAGAGGTGGTTAATCCTAAGCCTTCGGTGTATAAGTCACCTGGTAAGGGTATGATCTTTTCGATTGCTTTTGGGTCTTTTTTACGGAGACGATCAAATAACTATAAATGGATTAAGATTGATTTTAGTTTCCAATAAAAGTGAACAGTTCTTACTGGTAATTTCCACATATCGTCGATTCTTTGCTGCGGTGATCTGCCTCGTTTGCTTCGCAAAAGTATGTAAATCGTACTGATGCCGTCACATGTGTATAGTAATTTTTCCAGCATCACTTTGCCCATGAAGCCGCTGCCTCCGGTCACAAAAATGCTGCGGCCCGAATACCATTTTGCGATTTTACTGTTTTCGTTTGTCATCCTAGAAAAAGGAAAAAATGTGGGTAAGTAAAAAGTACTTAAATTTTTTTATTAAGAAATTTATTGTGTCTTGAAGCAAAACCAAAGTTCAAACAAAAGTAATCAAAATTGCTTTTTACATAAGTACTAGAAAGTGTACCTTTCTGGTGTTAAATAACAGACGAGAAAGTAACAATTTTCACGCTCATTTGAAAAATGACTTTCATTAAGTTCAAGACATGCAATTTATAAAGCAATTAAAAATACATTAGAAAATTTCTGCATTATGTGTTTTATTTATTTTAAAGGTCTGTTAAGCCAAGGTGCAAAGCAACGTGTTTATTAACTTAACTTAAATCAAAGAACATTTGATTGCATCTAAGTTAATGAGTTTTATTTCTGGAACTATAAGTTCAAATGAGCTGAAATTTTCGGGGATTGTAGTCCTCTACTGGAATAAGAATCGCTGAAAATTTCAGCTTTCTATCTATAATAGAAAAAAAATTATGACCTGTGAAAGTTTTCCAAAATCTAAATCATAAGGTAGGTAGCTACCTCAGTACTAAAACGATGAAATTTCAAAAAATTTTATGATTGAAATTTTGTGTTTTGATGGTCTTTTGGGATCTCCCAAACTGAAATTTTCAGGGATTGTAGTCCACTACTTGCCACTACTGGAATAAGAATCACTGAAAATTTCAGCTTTCTATTTATAATATGTATAGAAAAAAAAAGTTATGACATTTCATAGTTTTCCAAAATCTAAATCATAATAGGTAGCTACCTCAGTACTAAAACGATCAAATTTCAAAAAAAAAATTGTCGAGATTTTGTGTCTTAGTGATGCTTTGGAATCCCCAAATTCCCACTGAATTATTCTGAAATTTGGAGCCGGATTCTATGAAAAAAGGCACTCAGAAAAATTGATAAATCACCCTAAATTGCTTAATACGATTTTATTTCTGAAACTATAAGTCCAAATGAGCTGAAATTTTCAGGGATTGTAGTCCACTACTGGAATAAGAATCGCTGAAAATTTCAGCTTTCTATTTATAATAGAAAAAAAATTATGACCTTCCAAAGTTTTCCAAAATCTAAATCATAATAGGTAGCTACCTCAGTACTAAAACGATGAAATTTCAAAAAAAAAATTGTCGAGATTTTGTGTCTTAGTGGTGCTTTGGAATCCCCCAAATTCCATACACTGAATTATTCTGAGATTTGGAACCAGATTTTATGAAAAAAGGCACTCAGAAAAATTGATAAATCATCCCAAATTGCTTAACACGATCTTATTTCTGGAACTATAAGACCAAATGAGCTGAAATTTTCAGGGATTGTAGTCCTCTACCTAAATTTGTTGAGATTTTGTGTCTTAGTGGTCCTTTGGGATCCCCCAAATCAGTGGCGGCTCGTGACTATTTCAAGTGAGGAGGCTAAAAAATAATGAATTACAAATTACGGTAAGGTAGCCACTGAAATTAGGTACAACGTGAAAACAGTGTACTAATAATATTTCTGTCAAATGTCTGAAATTTGGGTCAAATGTCATTTTTTGTTTATTCCCAGCTCTTGAATTTGTCAATGAAGGAAATTCAAATGCATGGAAGGGAAAAAACATTTAAGTAAACTTCTTGTCGCTTCAGACCAGCCCCCCTCTTCTTTTCTCTGGCCAATCAGGGAAGGATCCCTCCATTAGGCTCCTCCGTAGGCCAATAAGGGCTGGTTCTTTCCTACAGCTAGATTAGACTCTTTCTCCGGACCTTTCATTGGTTGTAATGTAATACAAAATGGCCGACAGCCTACAAATGGCTGACAACCAATGAGAAATAGGTACTGAGTGGCGATTCTGGTCCTCTTATCTCCCAATTTTTCTAGTTAATTCTCAGTTTTTCCAATTGAAATTTTGTCTATTCCCCCAATGTTTAACCAAAAAAGGTACGCCTATGGATTGTATGACTCCATTCCTTGTTTATTCGCAATTAACCATTAGGGACCCATAAAAGGCGTCTAAATGGGTGGAGTTTTACCATCCATAGGCGTACGAGATATTTTTCAAACAAAATTCCCTTGGAAAACACTCGTTTTGAAAAACAACATGGCGGCAAATTTAAATTCAAATCAGTGTTGCCAACCGGTTTGTAAATTGAACTTACACACTGTTGCCGGCTTTTACTCAAAAATCGGCCAAGCCTCACAATAAATATTAGGTATATGAAGAAGAGAGAGATAGACCTATAAAACGGCAACAATGTTTTAACCAGTGGCAGTGTGTAATTTTGGATAAACTTTAACCGAACTATTTCCATGATTTCATGAACACAAACGCTTTCGCGAGAAACTTATGACGTCATATTGAACGATTCGCCGGAAACATGGACCTGGTTTCTAACCCAAACTAATGACATATCATATAAGACGAACTATCAATGAACTACATTCGTCCAAAAAATTCGGTTTTTGTGTACCAATTTTTTCTGAATTTCTTTTCTTTATTTCGAAATTTTTCCTGTTCAATTTTTGTTTATGCCTGGCTCTTGGATTTGTCAAAATGACATAAATTCGAGCAAGAGAAAAAATATGAATCTGCTGATCCAATATGGCGTCTGTGGGCAAACAATCAACAACAAAACATCTACATGGCATTTTCAATTAAAAAAACATTTAGATTAATAATATGAAAAACAAATTGGATTCAGTCACAAAATAACTGCACAAAAACTTCAAAGTCTGTATACTCTCATACCGGATAATGAACTTCCGCCCACTGACGCCACATTTGAATAGTTTTGACAGCTCGTTGGAATGCCTAAGCTGCATTCGATTGACTAGATTAGATCAATCTGATTCAATTTAAGTCATAAAGTTATCAGGCAACCTATCTCTCTCGAACAATCTTGAGCCAGACTCAAAAATTTAGCCCACTAATGTGCCAAAAATAAACAATATCCGAGTCGCATTTTAATTTTTCCTACTTTATTTCCGTCTCTTTTTTACTTATTTGATTTCGTATATAGTAGGACAGATACAAAATACATATACCTACAAAGCCACTCAATTGACCTATCTCGCATGATTAGAAAAAGAGAGCTTAATTGTAATAAACACAAGTTAGAAAGCAATACAAGATGACATGCGCGCGCAACCCGTAGGCTGCAGTGTAGCCAGATTGTATTGTCGCAGAACAAATGTAGACAAAACAAATCGAACATTATAACATTAAAGAAGTGATATAGTGTTAAGTGTTTTACAACGCCCTAAATCAGACAAAAGAAGAGCTTTAAAGCGGATGAACATCGTTTGCACTTTTATTCTGATAAATATTTCATCCGGCAACATCGCTCAATGAAATTGCAAACGAATATGTCAAGTATAATCTAACATAACCTTAAACGAAACTGCGGTGAGTTCAAGTGATATGTGAAGGATTAGTTTGCTCTTTGTCAAATTATACGTTACAAAGAAAGAAGGAACGATTCATTCTGAACTGGCCCCTGAATAAGAATATGACGCAAGCCTGTCACAAACTTGCTTCTCATTGGAGGCTCACCTGCAGCCCACAAGCGACGCGCGCAGTCCAGGCAGGGCCGTAGCTAGAGTCAAATGACAAATTTGACATAGGGCATACACTGCTTGCCCCCCCCCCCTTGAATTTTTTATAGGTAAACAAAATGGGGGTAATAGCGCCGACGGCAAATTTTTCAATAAATAACATATCTGGCAAACAAAATGGCGCTGATTCTCGCGCCGCTTTGGACCATTCGCACCAAGGATAATACACACTAAGTACTACTACAGGATAGCTTATCCTTATAAGGCCTACGTAGATCAAATCTCAAGCTCCCTACCACGCCAAAGAACCAGTGATGACCTAGGCAGCGTGTCATTCTTCGACTTGACGTAGGGTGTTTGCACCACAGGTACAGTCGTGAGCATTAAAAATGGGACACCCGATTTTTCCTATTGTAGAACGGGCTCACCAGCTACACCGTCGGCAATGAGAGGGATTGTCATATTTGGCAAAAAATCCGTTGTACAGAAAAGAATCATTCACCCAAAATAGCGAAAAATGACAAGACCTGTCAGTCGGGTCTCCCACTCACTTTTAATGCTCACGACTGTACCTAGCTCACGCGGGCTTTTGCTTTATGCCCACTTGATTTTCGCACAGTAGTTGAAGTTGTCAATGGTGGTAGACCATATGATGGCCACGATTTCCACAAACCAGGCCGATAAACAATCCTGTGCAGTAGTGTGTATTATCCACATACTTATACACTAATAATACGTATACCGCTAAAGTGCGACGACCTACCACCGACCAGTGTAACATATAGGAGGCTGCCATTTTGACCTATATTTTTAGCAGGAATTTCAAAAATGACGACTTTCACAAATTCATAAATAACATTGTTATAAATTTTGGTGTCGAGCATCTCAGAATAATGTTTTCAAAATAATTATTACAGTCATCTGTAACTTTTATAGCGAATTTCATTGGGAAAGTTAGTGCGCACTGAGTGTATCGTATCTTTTTCTACCAGCTTGTAAAAGAAAGAAATAAAAAAAACATTTTTTCTGCACTAGTTCTACCAATGGAATTTGCTATATTATTTCATTATTGTCAAAGCATAGGTCAAAATGGCCGATTCTTCTATCTTTTTTTATTCCGATGCGCTGAAAGATGTGCAGTCGTCTTTGAGCGGTATACGGCATTATACGGTAGTATATGTATGTGTTATTATCCTTGCATTCGCAATCTTTCGAAAGGAAAAAGTTCCTCTGTGAAAACGTCAAACACCCCGCATATTTAGGCGTTTTTGGAAACACTTATCCTCGCACTTACTCGATTTCAGGCCTATTCATTTATCTACTCTTAAATTTCCTAGAGAAACCTCAACGCATGTTGTGTTTTAAAGGTAGGGCATGATCATTTGAAAGATAGGGCATTGCCCCCCAATGCCCCCCCCCCCTGGCTACGGCCCTGAGTCCAGGTAATAGGAGATCGGTCTATTGCCGAGCCGAGAACAATCAAAATTCGTGTCACCTTCTATTTTTGCCTACTTTATCTCTATTTCTTTTTAACCCATTGAATATCCACATCGTTCCAATCTCTCTTATTCTAAATTTTTCATGAATCCTTTTATTCCAGGTTCTTGATTAGCCAGGCACAAAAATTTAGCCCACTATGGCGCCGGCAACGAAATACGTGTAACATCCTGGCCTTAAAATACGTCATAGCAAGCAGGGTTCCATAAGCTTTTCAACGTTTTTTTTGCTTCTCTAACCGATGGTAGAAAAAAAATATTTAAATCAAGAAAGATGGGGAGGCTAACTTTTTTCCTGTACATCGGAGAGAACTGAAACTCGGAATATCGACTAAAAATTACTTTTTGATTGGTCCAAATTAACCGCTAACCAATAGAATTATAGACTGGGCCCCGTGATTAAAATAACTCTAGCCCTTCGGGCTCGCCTATAACTTTGGTTCTTCGGGCTCGCGTATAACTCCGGCCCTTCGGGCTTGTAGTATTACTGAGTATCCCAGATTCTCAGATTTTTCTCGTGGAGGCGCGGGATTGATTGAAATAATGACAGATTTTTCTGAATTACACTCTGAAATATCGAAATTTGGAAAATGTAATTTGTGAATTATTATTTTAATTAGAAATTAGGAATAAAAAACTGAGATTGAATTTTCAATTTTTTGGAGGAGGCTTAGCCTTCCCTGCCTCCTCTGACGAGCCGCCACTGCCCCAAATTTCATACACTAAATTATTCTGCTTCTGCTAAGCCAAGGTGCAAATCAACGTGTTTATCAAATTAACTTAAATCAAACACTTCCGATTGCATCAAAGTTAATTATTGCTCTCTGGACTTTATTATTAATAATTATCTCATCATCATTAAATAAAAAAATTAATTAATACAACTAACTTACGTATGTTTGCTCTAAAAAATTAATTATATGTACTCACTTATCGATGCTAATAATTGCGATAATTAATTGTCAATATTAATGTTTTCAGGAATAGAAAATGCAATTGATGATACATACTTATATACGAGCAACAGAGAGGTCAATAATAAGGTAATTGATTTGCCAATCGGCAACCTTCGACTGTTAATGACCAAATTAATAAATTAGTTTATTATTACCTCATAGAAATAGTATATTGTGTATTTAGGTGGAAAAGTGAGACATTCTCGGCCGACGGTGTAAGTTGACAAACACTGAAGGCCGAGAATGTGCTTTTCCACCGAAATACACATACTATTTTTTCTGCGATCGGTTAAATACCTGTTAAATGTTTGCCTTTTAGTACCAATTATTTAGCAATACGAGAATCACTTTCCCGGCCTAGGCAACTATTGAAACATAATTGAAATACCAGAATATCGAGTTTTGCGACCTGTCAACCGGTCAAAAATGTTGTCATTTCTTGTTAATCGCAGAAAAATGTATTTATATAAATTTAATTCTAATGGCAGAAATTTGGATCTTGAAAATTAGCCGTGTCTAGACACATTAGGAAGTACTCAATAAATAAATAAATAAATAATAAATTGCATTAGAGATTATGTCACTATTGCAAACCAGAAACCTTATTTCAACGTATTGACCTAGAAAAAAAAATCAAGTCAAAAGATTCCATTTGTTGTTTTTTTTTTTACGTAATAATTAAATTAATGAGGTACCTACTTACGTCGCTACGCTAAAATATTAATTAGCAACATAAATATTACGTAAACAGACAAAGAATTTTCCTATAGAATAGTAATTTAGGTGCAATACTGGAAAAAAAAAATTCGTACTGCCTTAATAAGGATACGCGATGCATTATGTGAAATTCAGCCAACGGTAAAAATATAACATGGTAAAGTAGTACTTTGCCTATTACCGGCTAAAAGATGCTGTAATCAAAAGTCTATCACGAAAAATAAAAATGCTTATAGTTGATGGACTACTTTTCTATTGCAAAATTTATTCTCCCGTCTCGGTTACATGCACAAATACCTACTACTTTCAGGTAGGTACTACATTCTTTTGATTTTGTAATCGATGAGAATGTTGATTTTGTTAGACGAACTTATAGACGATTTGGACAAAAATGCAACATAACAATTTCAAGAAAAATGAGTTTTGAGAAGTGAATTTCACAAGTTGGGAAAATTGCTTTTTCCGTCTGCTTTGTTTCAGATTGCTACAACAAAGTGCAGAAAGTATGCCTTTGGTAGATTCTTTTTTAAGCTGACTTAAGGCCGGTTTACACTTTGATCAGTAACAAGTGCTAGTGTTCAATTGTCGAATTTTAAACGGACCTGTCAAGTGATAGTGCAATTTACAAGTAGGTACAAGTAAATCAAATTTTCTATTTTTCAGTTTAGTATAACACTCGACATGTCATATTAACATTTGTCACTAAAAACTTGCAGTTAACAAAATGTAAACGGGCCTTTAGATTAAATAAGTAATTTTTATTTTCTGAATTCATATCACTCATATCTGTTTTTGTATTGTTTTGCATTGGGTAGGTGCAAGATAACTTAAAACATTTTTAGGGATTTTAGTTCCTTTTTTCACTATAAAATAAATGATGATAGGGATGTACTTTTTGCGAAAAAAATCTCTACTTTATCTTCTATCCATCGAAGACATTTAACTCGTGACTAATTATTGTAGTTGCATCTCTATGTATTTATTTGTAGGCACTTTATTAATAAATATTTATTACTTTACTCAACTTTCACATTTAAAGTGACTTTAAAATGACTATGAATTATTATTTTGAAACTTGTTTTAATTCTAGTTTCAACCTAAATTTGTGAAATCCTGCCTAATCTAAACATTTTTTGGTCATTGTAAATTGATTGCCTCATCAGAACAAATATTATAATATATGCAATTTATGTGGATTTTAATGTGAGTGAGAATTTTTATAATGCGATGAAAACTAGAAAAATATTTAGGGTGTATTATTTATCAATAGAAAATCTCATCTGTATATTTCCCTATATCAAATAATCATTATTCTTCAATAATTGAAGTACCAAGCCAAAAAAAAAATAAAATAAAAATTCTTAGTATGTATAGGTATTTATTATTGTTTTACCTTTATAATTATTATTTGTCCTAATCTGATGATAATGACCCCGCTCGGACAACGATTGCACGCAACTACGATACGGTTCAAGTCGTGGTACTGGTACCACTGAAGATACGATCGGGTACTGGTCTCACTTTAATCGACCAATCGCCCACGAATTACGGTACCCTCACTCTTTGTACCGTCAAGTCCAAGCATGGGACTTGGGATTTGGTTGTTTTTATTTGTATGATTAAAATATTTTCAGGAATTGTAGTCCTCTACTGGAATAAGAATCGCTAAAAATTTCAGCTTTCTCAGTAGGTACTAAAACGATAAAATTTCAACATTTTTTTTTTGTTGAGATTTTGTGTCTTAATGGTCCTTTGGTTAGAGGATACCAAAAACTTCATACACTAAATTATTCTAAGATTTGGAACTGGAATATATGAGAAAAGACACGCAGAAAAATTGATAAACCACCCCAAATTGCTTAACACGCTTTTATTTCTGGAACTATAAGTCCAAATGAGCTGAAATTTTCAGGCATTATAGTCCTCTACTGGGATAAGAATCACTGAAAGTTTCAGCTTTCTACCTATAATAGAAAAAAAGTTATTACTTTCCAAAGTTTTCCAAAATCTAAATCATAAGGTAGGTACCTTCTTACTAAGACGATGAAATTTCAAATTTTTTTTTGTGGAGATTTTGTGTCCTAATGATCATTTGTGATCCCCCAAACTCCATACACTAAATTATTCTCAGATTTGGAGCCGAAATCTATGAAAAAAGGCACTCAGAAAAACTGAAAAATTGATAAATCACCCCAAATTGCTTAACAGGATTTTATCTCAGGAACTATAAGTCCAAATCAGTTGAAATTTTCAGGGATTGTAGTCCTCTACTGGGATAAGAATCACTGAAAATTTCAGTCTTCTACCTATAATAGGAAAAAAGTTATGACTTTCCAAAGTTTTCCAAAATCTAAATCATAAGGTAGGTACCTTCTTACTAAGACGATGAAATTTCAAATTTTTTTTTATCGAGATTTTGTGTCCTAATGATCATTTGTGATCCCCCAAACTCCATACACTAAATTATTCTCAGATTTGGAGCCGAAATCTATGAAAAAGGCACTCAGAAAAACTGAAAAATTGATAAATCACCCCAAATTGCTTAACAGGATTTTATCTCAGGAACTATAAGTCCAAATCAGTTGAAATTTTCAGGGATTGTAGTCCTCTACTGGGATAAGAATCACTGAAAATTTCAGTCTTCTACCTATAATAGGAAAAAAGTTATGACTTTCCAAAGTTTTCCAAAATCTAAATCATAAGGTAGGTACCTTCTTACTAAGACGATGAAATTTCAAATTTTTTTTTATCGAGATTTTGTATCCTAATGGTCAATCAACATCCTCCAAACTCCATACACTAAATTATTCTCAGATTTGAAGCCAAAATCTATGAAAAAAGGCACTCAGAAAAATTGAAAAATTGATAAATCACCCCAAATTGCTTAACAGGATTTTATCTCAGGAACTATAAGTCCAAATCAGTTGAAATTTTCAGGGATTGTAGTCCTCTACTGGGATAAGAATCACTGAAAATTTCAGTCTTCTACCTATAATAGGAAAAAAGTTATGACTTTCCAAAGTTTTCCAAAATCTAAATCATAAGGTAGGTACCTTCTTACTAAGACGATGAAATTTCAAATTTTTTTTTGTGGAGATTTTGTGTCCTAATGATCATTTGTGATCCCCCAAACTCCATACACTAAATTATTCTCAGATTTGGAGCCGAAATCTATGAAAAAAGGCACTCAGAAAAACTGAAAAATTGATAAATCACCCCAAATTGCTTAACAGGATTTTATCTCAGGAACTATAAGTCCAAATCAGTTGAAATTTTCAGGGATTGTAGTCCTCTACTGGGATAAGAATCACTGAAAATTTCAGTCTTCTACCTATAATAGGAAAAAAGTTATGACTTTCCAAAGTTTTCCAAAATCTAAATCATAAGGTAGGTACCTTCTTACTAAGACGATGAAATTTCAATTTTTTTTTTGTGGAGATTTTGTGTCCTAATGATCATTTGTGATCCCCCAAACTCCATACACTAAATTATTCTCAGATTTGGAGCCGAAATCTATGAAAAAAAGCACTCAGAAAAACTGAAAAATTGATAAATCACCCCAAATTGCTTAACAGGATTTTATCTCAGGAACTATAAGTCCAAATCAGTTGAAATTTTCAGGGATTGTAGTCCTCTACTGGGATAATAATCACTGAAAATTTCAGTTTTCTACCTATAATAGGAAAAAAGTTATGACTTTCCAAAGTTTTCCAAAATCTAAATCATAAGGTAGGTACCTTCTTACTAAAATGATGAAATTTCAATTTTTTTTTTATCGAGATTTTGTATCCTAATGGTCAATCAACATCCTCCAAACTCCATACACTAAATTATTCTCAGATTTGAAGCCAAAATCTATGAAAAAAGGCACTCAGAAAAATTGAAAAATTGATAAATCACCCCAAATTGCTTAACAGGATTTTATCTCAGGAACTATAAGTCCAAATCAGTTGAAATTTTCAGGGATTGTAGTCCTCTACTGGGATAAGAATCACTGAAAATTTCAGTTTTCTACCTATAATAGGAAAAAAGTTATGACTTTCCAAAGTTTTCCAAAATCTAAATCATAAGGTAGGTACCTTCTTACTAAGACGATGAAATTTCAAATTTTTTTTTGTGGAGATTTTGTGTCCTAATGATCATTTGTGATCCCCCAAACTCCATACACTAAATTATTCTCAGATTTGGAGCCGAAATCTATGAAAAAAGGCACTCAGAAAAACTGAAAAATTGATAAATCACCCCAAATTGCTTAACAGGATTTTATCTCAGGAACTATAAGTCCAAATCAGTTGAAATTTTCAGGGATTGTAGTCCTCTACTGGGATAAGAATCACTGAAAATTTCAGTCTTCTACCTATAATAGGAAAAAAGTTATGACTTTCCAAAGTTTTCCAAAATCTAAATCATAAGGTAGGTACCTTCTTACTAAGACGATGAAATTTCAAATTTTTTTTTATCGAGATTTTGTATCCTAATGGTCAATCAACATCCTCCAAACTCCATACACTAAATTATTCTCAGATTTGAAGCCAAAATCTATGAAAAAAGGCACTCAGAAAAATTGAAAAATTGATAAATCACCCCAAATTGCTTAACAGGATTTTATCTCAGGAACTATAAGTCCAAATCAGTTGAAATTTTCAGGGATTGTAGTCCTCTACTGGGATAAGAATCACTGAAAATTTCAGTCTTCTACCTATAATAGGAAAAAAGTTATGACTTTCCAAAGTTTTCCAAAATCTAAATCATAAGGTAGGTACCTTCTTACTAAGACGATGAAATTTCAAATTTTTTTTTGTGGAGATTTTGTGTCCTAATGATCATTTGTGATCCCCCAAACTCCATACACTAAATTATTCTCAGATTTGGAGCCGAAATCTATGAAAAAAGGCACTCAGAAAAACTGAAAAATTGATAAATCACCCCAAATTGCTTAACAGGATTTTATCTCAGGAACTATAAGTCCAAATCAGTTGAAATTTTCAGGGATTGTAGTCCTCTACTGGGATAAGAATCACTGAAAATTTCAGTCTTCTACCTATAATAGGAAAAAAGTTATGACTTTCCAAAGTTTTCCAAAATCTAAATCATAAGGTAGGTACCTTCTTACTAAGACGATGAAATTTCAATTTTTTTTTTGTGGAGATTTTGTGTCCTAATGATCATTTGTGATCCCCCAAACTCCATACACTAAATTATTCTCAGATTTGGAGCCGAAATCTATGAAAAAAAGCACTCAGAAAAACTGAAAAATTGATAAATCACCCCAAATTGCTTAACAGGATTTTATCTCAGGAACTATAAGTCGAAATCAGTTGAAATTTTCAGGGATTGTAGTCCTCTACTGGGATAATAATCACTGAAAATTTCAGTTTTCTACCTATAATAGGAAAAAAGTTATGACTTTCCAAAGTTTTCCAAAATCTAAATCATAATAAGGTAGCTATAACTACCTTAATACTAAAACGATGAATTTCATTTTTTTTTTTTGGTGCTTGTAAGGCTGAACGGGTACGGGACATTTATTGTTAATAAAACCACTTTGTAGAGAATTCAATTTTCCATCGAATAAGATATGATTCATGGAAATCGGTTCAGAAACATCAAAGTTATAGCCAATTTAATGAATTGGTGTCGAATCGCCACAAAATGGTGAAAATTTATGGGAAATCGGAAAAGTTAAGGGAAAAAAAGTAGGTTTTGGGACTTTTTGGAATCCCCTCTACAAAATGGCTATCTTGAAATTTCGAAACCTTTAATTTTTGTGTCCTCTACTTCTTTTCAAGTTATCATCCGTAATCCTTTTTTTTTTTTCTCCACTATCTGTCACTAGTAGTTTTTTCTTATAGTACAGAATACATTGTAGTACCCTTAGACTGTATTCCAAAAGAATCGTTAACGTTGTCCAGGACATTATCTATTGTTCAGATCATTCCAGGTATTTTAATTTTTTTAGTGTTCTTTTCTCTATTTTGTCCCAATCGTCTAATGCTGATTCCATTTGTATTTATAGATTTTGTAGGCAGTGATAAGATCGTATTTGTTATGTCAACTCTAAGATATCTAAAGTGATTTTCCTGTTTTACAATTTCTCATTTGCATATTATGGTTAATGTTAATAGCCATTTGGTTTATATTTAATTGTTTGTTTGAAGTAGTAGAGCAGTCTCTGTGTAGATGAAAAGTACCACATTATTGGAGAAACAAACAGTATCCTGCCACTTTTCCAAAAATAAACAAACACATTTTATGTTCAATCTTCTTTATACACTACTTGTCTGGTTTATCATCTTTGTAAAAAGTTTTTGGCACTAAAAATATCATATACATAAGCCTACAAATAACTCAAAATTTTGAACCATCTAAAATTTATTTATTTTATTAAAAAATTATATTTTACACGTCAGAGAAAAATGTCTCTTTGAATTAAAAATGTTAACTGCAAACAAGGATTGCTGAGCCTAGCTGATCATTGACCACTCATCCCTGTTTTTACAAATGATACAAAAATGTGATGTTTTTCTTCTACAAAACATTTTACAATAATTAAATTAGTCATAAACTATATCTTTTGGCTCGCAACTTTCCAGCCAATAAATTATTAGAGCAATTACCAGAACAGTCAACACATCACTAAAGGATGTATTTGTTTTATATACAATAAGAATCTGCTCAGAGAGTTGCTTGTATCTAACTCCACTTGAGCACAAAGTCCAATAACATATTAACACAGACAGACAACATTTTGTGTTGCCAACATTTAGGAGAACTATGCACCTCTGGTGTATCCCCTCTAATTAGATTGCTGAATTGGAGCTTTCAAGACTTAAATCGAATGTATATTATATGAGTTAGAGGCAGATAGATAACCAGGTTTCACCTTTGCTGTGTGCATTTCTTTATTATTTTAATCAATTGAATAATAGGTAGACAAGTCTTGTTTATACCTCTAGAGCATCCAGGTCTTGTCACCACAACAAACATCGAAATCTATCTGTGTTAAGATGCCATTGACAATTTTACAATAAATTATCACAATTGTCATAAAGCCCTAAAAAATTACTATGATCTTGTATGTCTGTTCCTGTGCTGTCCTCCTCTACTTCCCCTTTGTCTTTTAGCATCGTTAGCAGTATTACTAGGTAAAGTAGCAGGCCTAGGAATATTGTTGCTATTATTAGAAGCAGTTTTACTCAAAGCATTATTATGTGGAACTGGGGCACTAGCAGTAGTAACAGGCGGCACTGTAGGCGCTCCCACTCTACCCGCTCCGTTATTAGTGCCATTGTTCATTGGCAAACTGTTCTGAGGCTGTCCTCCTACCGTAGGTATCGGGTTGAACAAGTTGGGCTCAGAAATGTTGTTTTGTTCGTTGAAAACCATACAAAACTCACCGATTTTCTGAAGTTCGCCCCCTTTAGCTGTATATAGGGTTAAGCAATTGCGCCACACATTCAAGTAGCCCTTGGTGAGTCTCACTATGTCGCCAGGTACAAGTAGTTGACCTGGTTCGTCCCAAACGCTCACGTTGATGCAGGCGCTAGCGTCTGCCACTTTGACGGTTCTTACCTCGCGATTTTCTTTTGTAAGAGTGGGCAGGCCAATGTCCAAAACTATGAAAACGGCGTTGATGTTCTTCAAACCGGGTCGCATATCTTTGATTTGGACATAGTTGGTGTCCATAGTTTAGTAACCTAACCTAAAAAAATTACTGCAGTAATTTATTAAAAGTTGCTTTGGTTGATTGGATTGGCAAAATTGTTATTTGCCTTTTGTTAATTTTGGTCTAAAATTCTTAAATAATTTAAAAATTTTAGGAAAAAGTAAAATAGGTCCTTTGTTGTTTGTGTAGTGTAAAATTGAAATATGAAATGACAGCAATGTAGAGGGGGCCTTATCGATACGTAATATCGAATCGATATGTATCATCGATAAGATCCTGCAAAATAGGAGTTTTTGAATGAATATCGATAAACAACATTTTGATTGTTGTTTTAATTGAAAATTACAACAAATAGATTTGAATTATGAATAAATAATAAAATAAATCAATTAATTTTTTTTTTTAATGAAGCGCCATCTCTTATTTGAAACCCTTAACAATAAACTCCTAACCTAAACATTTATTTTGTCTGTCCTCGTTCATTTTCGTGCATTAAAAAAAGATGCATATAACCGAGTTGTTTGTCAGCTGTTTTCGCAGAAATCTAATTTGGTTTTTTTGACAGGTTCGTCGGGGGTGCTCTGAAGCAAATTTTTCAAAAGGGATTTTCTCGATTTTCATGAAGAAAATTAGCTAAAAATTGCTTAAAAACAGCTTCTGCTAGTTTCAGTTTATCAAATTTCTATCCCTGTTCAAAAATGAAGCCTAAATTGCACTAATTAAAGACCAGGTAAGTTTTTCCTTTATTGCATTTCAAGCCAAAATGATTTTTTGCCTATTTACATCGAAAACTCTATCATAAATTCCTTTCAGAATCACAAATCAACTATGCAACTATTGAACCCTACCAAGTCGATATTCACATAAGTCACCACGGATATAATAGCCCGAAATCTATTTTTTTTCTTTTTCGTTGCAACCATGTCCTATCATCATCACGAACATGTATTCGACAAACTCGAGTCAAATAACAAGGAAATTGTGGAAAAATTCAAGCACAGCATCCACGAACAATACTCAAGAGGTTTGTAGACTTTGTTGATTATTATTCACATGCTATTATTAAGGGCTAGTTTATCCTGTTGGTAAAACTAATTTTGAGTTTTAGCAGCAGGATACATTTGCCAAAGATGTTACTAGTCAATCCATTATTTGGCTCTAATACAAATAAATAATTTCAGTGCAAGAGCCATGGTTGATAAATGGTTTATACGATTATTATTTGAACACCAACTCAGTAAGATGCATGGAAGTTTTGATTAATTTGAGGGAACCACATCAGAATTTTTTATTTGATAGGTAATCAGTAGTTGTAATAACACTATAGGTCTGTTCTCACAAAAATCATAAACCTATCAAAGTGAATTTCATTGGTTGACAACCTAGGGGTAAATCACTTGTGGAATTTCCATGATGGAAATCACTGTACACTTTGCTGGGAATACTTGATAATACCAAAGTTTACTCTGGACAAACCTAGGAATACTTGGAAATCCTGGGGAATATGCTGTTTGGAAATACTCAGGTAGTACATGGGAATAATTTGGAAATACATGAAATTATTTGTAAATTTCTATAACTTCCAACCCCACTTTTATTGTATTTTTGGGCATTTTCATTTAAATCTCAAGAATTACGTGCATGTTTGTTGTGGTTCAGTGTTTCACTTTGTTCTGGTTAAGTGTTCCAATTATTTTTTTGGTCAACAGTTCCAGTTACCCTAATTTTGAGGCAACTGGAACAGTGACCCCGATTTTCTTATGCATTCACCTTGGCATTCACATAGTAATAATTGTGAGACGATTGGAACATATTGTAACATATTTGCTCGTGAATTATGGGAGTTGGAACAAAAGTATTACTTAGTGGTGATTAAATAGTGTTTGATAAAAATGGTAAAATGAACAAAAAATTAAATAATAAACCTATTTTCTTTGTAAGTAATCCATATCTCTGTTTCTGTATGGGGTTCAGTACAGTTTACAGTTATTATTCTACTTCATTCATATAATCCTCCACCAACTTATCCTCCTGTTGACATTATTCTTTTTTCTCTTGTTCCAAATACAAAGTTAGTCCGGTATTCATAGTGCCTACTTGAGTGCTGAGGATTCCTTAAAGGAAACCTTGGCAATAAATTGTCTTGCATAGTCAAAATTGTCAAGGCGTCCTTATCGCCGCTCATGCGTATTTTGGCACATTTCCTCCCTTGACTTGAGGAATGTCCAATAGTTATTTATTATACAAGACGGTAAAAAGATGCTTTACCTGTGAGTGGAAAATGTTGATTCACGAGCGACGAAGGAGCGAGTGGATTAATTCCACGAACAGGTAAAGCTTTTTTACCATCGTGTGTAATATTCTATTTTATTCTTGAGCAACTTATTATTTATCACAATTACTAAAATCATAAACTGAAATATGCTAAAATTTTACATAGATTATGACAAGTTGACAAAGTACCTAACAAACTGACTCATTTCTGGTGTTGTCAATCATGCAACATAACCAGATTTCTGTCAAAAACATTATAATCATTATAAAAGATTTGAAAAAGTGGGTAAAAGTGACGTATGAGTGGGTAAAATTGACAAATGAGTGGGTAAAATTGACAAATGAATGGGTAAAAATTGTTCGATTTCACTACTTCAAATAAAGTATTACTTTAACAACGAGTTTTGAGTCAATTAAATGATAGTTTACCATTCGCGATAGAATAAAGGTCCTTTGAGACTGGTTTTCAAACCTATTTCTATAAAAAATTTCATGTAATTGGTGACAGAACGTGAACTGTATTTGATTGATGTGCAAAGTTTATTATAAGTACCTATTGTAATTAGTATGGATGAGCTGGAAAATTTATTTGTAGAGATAATTGTGGCTGATGATGATAACCGCGTGTGGCTAAATTCAGCTGGTGTTAATACCGTTGTACAGTGGTGGAATGGTAGAAAAAGCAGTATTAAATTAAACAGTATCATAAGCATGCATTAGTGAGTCAATAAATCACCGGATCCGTGGCATTGCAACATTTTGGTGAATTTAGCCACACACGGGTTGTGCTGCGGAGGCCAAGAAGATACAGGGTTGTTCCGTATATTTAGACAGGATATAGCTTGCTTATGAAGCAAGATAGAAGAAAAATGTAAATATAAAGTAAATAGGGATTTACGAGAACCGCTAAAAAATTTACTTTTACATATACAGGATGCACGCAAAAGATGTGGCAAACACAGCTTGTATTTTTTTAAATGGAACAGCCTGTACATTTTTGGCTAGAATGGTAGATTTTTTTCTTCTGATTCCAAATACATATACCATACATGTTAATATTTGGTTAAGCTGTTCTCACGCTGGTAAAGTTTAAAAATGCATCAATATTACCCTAAATTAGGTCTGTTCTGGATACTTTATATCAATGGTGTGGCTTACTTAATGCAATTTTGAACTTAAATAGCGCAAAAACAGCTGAACTTAATATATATGATATATTTGGAATCAGAAGAAAAAAATCTATCATTCTAGCCAAAACTATACAAGGTGTTCTATTTTAAAAAAATACAAGTTGTATCTGCCAAATCTTTCGTGTGCACCCTGTCTATAAAAGTGAAATTTTCTAGCGATTCTTGAAAATCCCTATTTACTTCGTATTTACATTTTTTTTATCTATCTTGCTTCATAAGCGAGCTATATGCTGTCTAAATATACGGAACAACCCTGTACATTTGCGACATGCGGAATTCATTGGAATTCTAAATTGAAGAAGAAGTAGTCCATCTCTCAAAATAAAGTTGAAATTTAATTCCAAAAGAATACACAAGGTCTTCCTCCACAAAATACTTTGATAAAGTTAAAGCCCCCTATACATGCTTCCAGGCTAGAAGATCTCTTCATCATGGGCAAGTTCGCTCACATCTTACAAAGTATTTTAGGTCCCGCTGGACTTCGCATTTGGCAGAGAAAAAGAAACATCGAAAAGTTAGGACATTAAAAAAGACAAGGATAAAAAAAAACATCAAAAAATTGATAGATCAATTCCATCAATCAATCTTATATCAAAAAGCAACTTCATGGTTGTGCGTTATCTACAAAATGGTCAAGGAGGTACAAATTTCATCCCAGACAGCCTGTTTTTTTTTCCAATAATGCGGCGTCTATTTTCTCATTTTCCTCTGTGCTGAGTTACCATCTGGAACAGGAACATTTTCTCAGTCTCGGTGTACTTGGTTGTCATAATTACTTGTGCATAAATTTCACAGATGAATCACTATTTCTATAGCTATCTGACCTCAATATTCACATCAACCACACACAGAACCAACGACATTAACCATACGGCATACATTAACAATGACCACTTAATGACAATAACAATAGACATTTCGTAGTCCGTAGAAAGCGGTGTTGTCAGCTGCAAAACTTAAGACGAGGCTTCCTCCAATAAGGATGCTTTAACTTGCTACTATGAAACGCCAAAGTCGCAAACCACGAAGCCAATCACTTGTGCTAATAGGTTATTCCAGACAAATAAATTCAACAAAAAAAATTTGTGGAAATCAAATTCAATGGAAATTGAAAAATTGGAGAAAGTGCGGGATTTGAACCCGCAACCATCGCATTGCTAGTTCGAAGCTCTACCAACTGAGCCAACCAACCCACCTGGCAGATTTTCGGCCATCACTTGCACCCCAATTTTCAATTCTCCATTGACTTTAATTTCAAAGAATTTTTTTAGTGAAATTAGTTTCGTTATCTTAACCGACAAAAATTCTCCCTGTGTTCAAATAAATTCAAGCCTCGAGATCTGAGAGGTCACCTGTGCAAAGACGGTCTCACCTAGATATTCCAATCGCTGTGGTAATTAACATTCGCCAATCATGGTAGAATAAAGAACTACAACATGCAGCGAACACCTCGCTGAGATACTGAGATACACTGATGATCCTAATCTAGCGAACGGAGCTGGATTTGCTGGACTGGCATTTCAGAAACTTCAAGGTATCCTAGTCACTGGGCAAATATCCAACCATATTTCAAGCTGAATTGCTTGCAATCAATATTTCTGCACCAGAGTGTCCAAATCAAAACACACATGGGGCTCTAAAGGCTGTGAAGGCCTGCAAATGCATATCCAAGCTAGTCTGGGAATGCCAGCAGACCCTAAAACTAGTAAGGATGTGCAACCTGGTAACCTTGATGTGGGTGCAGGTCACAATGAAGCATAGCCAGTCTCGTAAATAAGGTGCTGAAACACCATTTTGGGGCCTAATGAAGACCACGTAACAAACGAACTATATGTATAAATGGGAGAAGGACCAATTGTCCACATTCTAGAGATAAACTCCAGGACTGAGACAGGCAAAATGATTAATCACAAAAGAGGGCAGAAGAAATCCTATCCACACATGACCAGATTTTTTCTTTGCCATACTCTGCACTGAAACTCATTGTGGCTTATTGTACATCATTTGCATGGACTCTACTCCTTCCCATCCCCCACCCTAAGATGGTCCGATTCGCAATCCATGGTCGACATCACGCAAGCCTGAAAAAGTCCTTCCACATCCTCTCGCCATGCCAGTTAAAAACCACAAACAGAAGCGGCAGCTGAAACCACAGAACATTTACTTTGGGGTTCTCCGGCCCAACTCTGGGAAATGCACAAGTACCTCCAGGGGGAACGGCCAACACCTCCAAGAGTGTGCCAACTATCTCCCAAACAAATAGCTTCCTTCGCAAAAATACCTTAATTTCTTGGACACAAACTAAGAAAATAGGTACCTTTTTGCCTTGAAAAATAGCTGAAAATACTTTGATAATAAAATATATTTAAGTTATTTACCCAGTTACCTCCTAATGTCAGTTAACCAAGTTGACCTTACTTGGAAATACTTTCCAAATTTGAGAAGTATTCCCAGAAATTGGAAATCACTGTACGTTTTTTGTTGCAAACAGTCAGAAAACTGGTTTGTGATTTTTGTGAGGACAGATCTTATGAACAAGCTTTTTTATTACCTAATATTTTGTCTATAGATTATGTGACTCAATAAGGAATTCAAAAAATGAAGTCAAAGTGCGTATTCAGGCTTTTACTTTACTGGGTCATATTGCTAAGAGTCAACCTGTATGGCTATACAAACTGCCCAGTCATCCTTTATTTAGGGAGATTTTGAGGTTTTTAATAGTGCGTAGATGTTTAATTTTTTAAATTTTTGTTAATAATTTTTTTTTTTAGAATGAAAGTGAGCTTCTACCTTTAGTCAGCGCTCTATTAGTACTAATAGTTCTTCTACCCATGTTTCCTTCAGCTATTGGTGAAAATTACTTGGAAGGTGTTTTTGATATTTTTAGGTAATACCCTTTTTTTTTTAATTGATATGGTCCAATAAGGTCATTTACTACATTTGCTCTTTTTATAGAATAGCTTCATTTATGTCTTGATTCATAAAAAATGGTTAAACATGTAATTTTTAACTGGTGTGTTTAAAACCCCCACATACACATACAGGTTCATGAAAGTAAACCTTACAGGAAGGAACCCATATTGGGAAGGTAAGATAAGTTCATTTCTGAGCAAAAATCCAGTCATCTCAGATACCAGGACTTTCTCCATGCATTTGCAAAGGGTGCTTGCTAAGTTAATGGGCCTATAGTTTTCAAGCAGGTGTAAATAGGCACTATAATAGGTCTGTTCCAATCCGACATGAATACTTACTGTTCTAGAACGGTAATTTTCAGTTGCCCAAATATTTTTCAATAAGTTGGACGTTTATCCTAATTGACAAATGAATTGATGGACTGGAAATTACCGTTCTAGAACGCTTGGAATAGACCTAAAAATTGCATCCTTCCATTTTCTTGGTAGTTTGCCCTGCCTTAGAAGATTGACTGAGAGGGGATGTGACAGAAATGCAGCACATTTGTTCAGGAAAATGGCAGGGATTTCATCCTCTTTTGGACTAGAATCTCTCTTTAGTATTCTGAGTGCAATTTCTCGATTATAAGTTACAATTTTAGGTGAATTAGCACAGAATGCATTAGGATCCAAGTTGGACTTCGATCTTCTCTTGTAAAAACACTTTGAAACTGTTTGGTAAACAAATTCTTATCAGCAGTTAGTTGTTACATTCGTAACTGAGAAATGTTTAAGTCTTGAACCATTTCCTTCTAGACTGCTTCATCTTGCAAACCAGCAAGTGTCTCTGAAGATGAATAAACTAAACCTAAGACATATAGTTAAGATTTCATGTTAAAATATTAATTTTGATAAATTATCTGTATTATTACACTTTCCTACACAAGTTCCTACATTATAAATCCACAGGAGAAATCTTGACAATATGCTTTTTATATAAAACGGTGAATAATTTAAATTATTATCCTCCTCTGTTAGATAATATAAATATTCAGGTACTTGCAAGATATACAAGACAGAATGAACTGTTTGAAAGGACAAATTATAGCTATTTCAGTCCTAAAGGTATTGAGAATTTGCAGGGGATGCCAATCAACTGCCTAGAAAGGTAGATAGATCTCTGCTAGAAAAAAACGACTTCATTTTCCAATTCCATGTTACTACTCCTCTTCACCTTTACCTGCTTTAAGGATTTTATTGTTCAATAATCAATAATGTATTTTCAAATGATATATTACTACATATTATTATTCAGAATTTTTAATGATAGTGGCTTATTGTAGGCGTTTAGCTGCATGGAATTCTAACGTACCAAGCAAATCAGTCGAAGACCAAATGATTCATCTCCAAGTGGCCCTTTACGCATTATTTCTACGTCTATACGGCATGTACCCATGCAATTTTTTATCTTACCTACAAAATCATTTCAAAGACAGGAGCAATCCTGTATTCTGTCACACCATCAAACCGATGATGGATACTGTTAAAATGCACCCCTCTTTAGTAACTACATCTAAAGATCTCGAAACTACAACTGAAAGGTAACTACATAGTTTTTGCTACATTTTTGCTGATGGTTATCGAATTTAGATGGAAAAAAATGAAAGTTCATGACGTTATAGTCGAGTGTGAAAGGTTCAGCTTGGACATAACCGACCGGTGTCCGCACGAAACTTGCCAGAATACCACAGAGTTTCGTTCACGTTCTGGTACAATGAATTCGACAATGGGAAGTGCAACAACCAACAATTCTGAGTTTATTTATCCGCAGCAGCACGTCAAGAGTCTGGCTACTTCACAAATGTCAGGAGCGGAAGCGTTTTTTTCGCCTAGTCAGCTTTTTCACATCCAAACGCCACCTATAAGTGAATCTACTGGGGTTTCGCATCGACCTGTTCAGGTAACAACAACTACTGTTGACTGTAATGTAATTCTTATTGTGTAAATATACTGGATTTAATATGAAGGCTTTTTGAGGTTGATGATTATGTCACTAAATACTTTAAGGCTTTTGAATACCCTAAGGATTATTTATTAATGTTTACGCAATAGTATTTAAAATTTAGTAAACTGAACTGCGTCTGGAAAATCGTGCAAACAAATAGAAATAGAAATGAAAATGATACCATAGGGTTGTCGAAACACACAAAAGTTATTACCACTCACCTGGGTTTACTTATAAGCTGTGCGTATATACAGGGATCCCCTGGAAAACGGTTCTCCACAACCACCAACGTATCACCATCAACTTAAGGCACTCAAGGTCCCTTTTTAACAGCATAAGACATAGACTTTTTGAGCGTAAAACACGGAACCGGTAAAAATGCAACGTGCATATCAAGTACCATTGATCTAGTATCTAAATCCAAATCTTCAACTCAGCTGTCTCGGTCGGCGCAGGGTTGTAGAAAATACACTCCTGTGTCTTTTACGCGAAATTGACATTTAAGTAATTCTTTAATAAGAATGAGAAGATACCAAATTTATAAATAACAATTAAGATTCTTGAAGAAAGTTAAAACACTTAAAGATTTCAAAGTTTCTGGTTCTTGAAGGCCCCTCATAAATTCTAAAAATCTAAAAGACCTCAAAATGTCTTTAGAATCATCACTTTGGGATTCTCAAAGGTCAAACAAATTCTTACAAAACTTTCAGGGAATAAACAGATCCAACTACACGATGAGCCAGGAAGGATCGCCACCGGAAGCAGCCATAGAAGCCACCCCAGAAACAACCCCAATAAGGGTAAGTTTTGTCTCTACATTACCCATCATCCTAGGGTTGGTTTTTTTTTTGTGCAATTTTGTTCCGTTCATTCATCATCCATCATCGCGCTTCTACGCTTTTAGGACTTCAACGCGCCGCCAGCGGTAGCAGCGTCGGCGAAAAACAGCGTCGCTCGCGCTCTGACGTCGTTTCGCAATAATTCAAGTAGTACCATCGTGAGCGGTACTCCTGCGAATAGCGTGCCCTCTTCGCCGATGCGAAAGGAACCGTCGCCGTTCGTTTTTCCTTCGGCCGCACCGAATAGCGCCACGCTGAGTCAGAATTTAGTTTATCGCATGAAGCAGGAACTGCAACGGCACCACCAACAGCAGGTGAGATTTACTTCAGATGGGGGCTTACAGCGCATTTTTTTTTTTTCATTTTTGTGGTTGTTCAACACGTGTGTGTGTATGTGCTGTCATAACTAGTAGTTATTTTTGAATACTGCAATCTAAATTAAAATTAAGACTTAGTATATAAATCCTTTTTTCTTTAAATCAATTAATTGTAGAGTCAAAAATTCCTCCTGTTGTTTTTTTTTGTTAATCTAATCCCTAGTTCCATGTAGGCGTTGGACAGTCAACAAACTAGCTCCAAACCAGTACCATCTAGTCCTTTGAAAATTATAAACCCAGATAATAGACACAGAGTCGATTCTCCTGTGAGTCAAGAAGACGAAGAGGTTTCCTTGATAAGTGTATCGGCTGGCAAATTGGATACTCCCAAAAAAAGATTAGCCACCCTTTCAGACAGTAGTGCTCCAGATTTGGAGGATTGTAAGTTGAATTACTAATGTTTTTCATGTATGATTGTTTTTTTTTTTTTTTTGTAGCTGATTGTAATAAGGAATCAGACGATATTGAGCACGGCTCTCCTTGTACTGCGGGTGGATTACACATGCCCAACTCGAAATCGATTAATAATTTCAAAAAAAGAATTAGAAGATTCAGGAAACATAGTCAATGCACTGAGCAAGAGCTGCGAGAAACTTCAACTGGCAGTAGTCCCGGGAACGGTAAAATTAATCATCAATAATTAAAAATTAGATAAGTTGAAATTATTTTTGTAGGCGTCGCTTTTACAAGTAACTCTGTGCGTCGTGCCAATTCGTATCCTGACGTCAAAAAAAGTCCGCATGTGCCCTCTAAACCGTTCTACGAGACTGATGAGGAAACGGTGTCTGAAGACCAAGTGTCAAATATTTCCAATGGGGTGGACGCAAAAAGTAAAAACTCCAAATCCTCTACACAGACTCAAACTGACGTTTTTTGGCCCATGCCTTACGAACATTTGTTTTTAAATATTTTCCCGTCTCTCAAGGAGGATTCGATAGAAATTAAGGCCAGTCCTGCACCCAGTCCCGCACCCGTTTTTAATCAGATGATCGAGCCTTGTAAACCTTCGCTTTATGATATTTTGGATAAGTAAGGACAACAATTTGTTATTATTGGGTGCGTTTACCAGTTAGAATAATAGAAGTATCATTTAGTTTTTTTAGCAAACCAACTAAGGCCAATCTATTATCGTATTGGTTGGCAGATAGCTGGCCGACCAATAGGATTATAGAATGTACTACATGGCCCATATAGCAGCTTACGTTCCATCAGAAAACGAAAAAGTCGACATTAAGCAGGAGAGAAAATTCAATGTACAGGATGTTTCACGAACATCGAAACAATAGCGTTTTGGGGTATTTTAAGGTCGATTTTTTTTTTTTTCAAGGGGGAAACTTTTTGACTCCATCGGTATTTCGCTAGGGTGCTTATTCTCGAAACCAGCGTTCTCATGAGAATGAAGGTTCTGTTTTTGTCAGTGTTATGGAAATATGAATATAAGCGACAAAGACAGAACATTCGTTCTCATGAGACCGCTGCTCCCCTGTTTCGAGAATAAGGACCCAGGTGGGGTGACTTTCATCCCTCTTTTTTAGATAGGGAAGATGGGTTGAGTGTCACAACTGTGTACTTTTTTTGCAAATATAAATCTTGAAACCTTAGCCATGTAGCTCCAGGAAACCAAAAAATCAAAATTAATTAATGTTGATGAGTTTACACCTCGAGAAAGCATATCAGCTGGGTTTTCTAATGTGTTTATGTATTTCCATAAACCATATTTGAATAGCGTTTGAATCTGGGATACCCCTATTAGTTACAAATGTTTTGAGTAGATGTTAAGATGTGTTTGATCCAGGAGATAGTAACTGTAGAATCACACCAATATGTTACTAGATCAAAATTAACAGGAAATGAAGGAATCACCAAAGTTTGAGCCTTGGGATCGTGATTTGCTTTATCGGTGTAACACGCGTTTTGATACAACAAAGGTTTGAAGTATAATTACCAAAAGAGTCTAAACAACGTATACCTATAGATGCACATATCACAGAATCCATATAACTGGATGAAAATGGGATTCACCCCAAATATTTGTCTAGGAATTTAGAGATCATTGATTATTGGAAGTTTTGAGAAATATTTGCTCCAAAGATTGTGCAAGTTCATGGGAATAGACTCATCTCACGAAATTTGTATTTTCCAGAGTTCTTGTAAAATAAGTTTGGCTGTAATTGTTACTGAAGTCCCAAAGGGTCGAATATCTGGGAGGCACAAGATAGAATATGGTCGTTTAGGGGGTTCCAGAGTAGTCCTAAAATTTTCTTTTGATCTTCTTTAAGTATGTTAGATTTAGAATCATGTATTGATTCCTGATTCGATTTCTATTTTCTTAAGGGAAACCCATATTTGATAAGAAGCTATAATATGTCGTTTTTAATTTGAATTAGTTCTTCCAGAGTATCGTAACTAGTGAGGTGGTCGTCCACATAAAAAGCATTTAGGACTGTCGAGGCAAGTTTGGGATATTCATTCATATGACAATAAGCTACTTCGTGGAGAGCTCTGATTGCTGAAAATTAAGCTGAAGTAGTGCCATGTGTAATAGTATTTAAGGTATAGATGGAAATGTTCTCATTAGTAGAGAATCTCCAAAGAATTTTCTGCAAATAACGTTTATCCTGTTTGACAAAAACTTGTTGTACATTTTTGTTATATCAGCGCTTAAAACAAAATTATGTTTGCGAAAACGTGATAGAATATTGAACAAATTATCCTGAATTGTCGGCCCAACCATCATTATGTCATTTAGGGAATATCCAGATGTAGATGTAGCAGACCTATCGAAAACTATTCTTAATTTTGTTGTTGTCGACGAATCTTTTAAAACACAGTGATGGGGTAAGAAGAAGCCTGATTTGTCATTCTGATTATTAAAAAGAGACATGTGTTTAAGATGAATATACTCCTCCATGAATGCATGGTATTATTGTTTCATGTCTAAGTTTTCTCTCAAGAGAAAATAAAGAATTACAAACAGTGTTCTCAGATTCTCCCATATATATGCTTTCAAAGGAATTGTCACAATAAGATTGCCTTCTTTACTTTGTGAAACACGCTGTTTGAAGTGGGATTCACAATTTGTTTCTTCTTCAGAAAGAAATTTGGTTTTCCTTGGGGCACTCTTTAATCTCCCAGAATTTGGAAAGTTTATTTTGAATATCAACATAGCTGAGAAGTGACAATGTACTGTTCTTTTTTGAGGACTGACGTGTAGTGATCCTGCCAAGTTTGGTCTTATATAAGGTTGGCATATTTTTTTCAAGTTTGATCTAACCAATGCTTAGAAGGTCCCAAAATGTATCAGCACCTATGAGAAGATCAACTGGAGCAGAAATGTCAAATCTTAAGTTAGCCAGTGTGATGTTGGTGGGAATGTTTAATAAAGAAGTGTCAAGATTTGTGTAAGGTAAATTTCCAGTTTTCTGAGATAAAACTATGCAAGAAATTTGTCTCTTAAAATTTTTAATAACTGATTTAAATCTTATCTGAATTAATTGGGATTTAAATTATTATTTGCAGAAACTGTAATGTTAATGTTAGTCTCTGTGAAGTGAAATTAGACTGACTTCCATTGTCGAGTAGGACTCTGCAGTCATGTTGTTTACCACTCTTATCGAAGAACTTTACTGTAGTTTAATAGGTGATTCAGTTGGGAAATTAATATGACATGATAGTAAGCTGTCTTGTGAGACTTTTATTTCCTGAGCCTGGGTGAAGTTGACATTAGAAGAAGTTGAAGGTTGTGTATTTTTTGTTGTTTGGTGAATAATTTGTGAAGTGTAATAATGTGTGGTGAATTTTAAAACATTTTCTACAAACCTTTGATCTGCATTCCTTAGTGAGATGATTGATGCACAAGCGCAATTCTTTGGCCTTGTTTAGCCTAAGAAAGGGAGTTAATTTAGTAAAATTATTGCAATTTGCGACGATATAGAAGAGGATGGAAATAAAGTGTTGAACAACGAAAAAAGATGTTCTAAAACGACATATAAATATGTATAGATAAGCCTGGTAAACGCATCCACTGCTATTATTTATCTCATGTCATTTTGTTCATTGATAAATTTTTCCTCAAAGGTACATTGAAAAATGCGTAGCAACGTCCGATAGTAATTCTCTAAGAGATCAGCTACAATTAGTGCACCAGCAGCTTTATTTCGAAAGACATCGCAGAGAAACGCACGCCTACAGAAACAGAACTTTGTTGTCTGACGCCAAAAGCACTAGACTGTTGGAGGAATGTAACTCGGCCTTGGTAAGCTTAAATAAACTAAACAAACGTAAAAAACAACTAATTTTTATTTAGAGGGACCAAGTCCAATTGAAACAGCGCGAAATTGAAGATTCGAGAAAGCAACTGGAAGATTACAGAAACGAAATTTTGAACAGTCAAGGAAGACTGGAAAGTACTGTACAGTACTTGCAACATAAGGTAAAATACTTAAAAAAAAAAAAAAACATTATTAATTAATTTAAAATTCCAGTGTCAGATATTATCAGATGAAAACGGCTCTTTACAAGAAGCCAACAGTAAACTAGACTCAGAAGTGACAGAGTACAAACACAAATGTAACTCTATCGACAAGGACAGGCAGCAGGCTGAGGCGGCCTTATTGGACGCCTTGGCCGAAGGTAAAGTGGCCAAAGAGCAAGCTTTGGTCGGTGAAAAAGTGAAGCTGGAATTGCAGAGGGTCAACAGGCAGATTTTGCTTATGGGCGAAATGCACGTGCAGTATAGGGAACGTTTGGAAAAATTGCCTTCGACCAGGCAATGCGACGAGGAGATGAGACAAATATCTGAAGCTTACAGAGAAGAATTGAATGGTAATTATATAATCAAAATATTTGTTGCTATTTCAATATTCTTGTTTTAAATTGAACATTTTTGTTTATAAGACTCAATATGACATTCCTCCATACTTTGGCCATTTACTCAAAAACCACTTAAGGCACAAATCTGAGATTATGAGGAAATATTTTTGAGGCTTAGAGGCAAAACATACTAAAAATTCGAATCAATTGAGCGAAAAATTGAAAAATTTTTAAAATTGGACATTTGTCTCTGTAAGACTCAATATGACATTTCTCCACATCTGAACCATTTACTGGAATAGACAAAATTTGATGTAAAAAAATGGGAGATTATTTCCTTATACCTACAAACATGTCAATTTTTTTAGCCTTACAATATTCCTTGGAAGCAAAAACGGTCACAATCGAAGCATACAAAAGCCGCATCTTGGAACTAGAACAAACAATTTCAAACAAAGACGACATCATTAGCGCTCAAAAGCGCACTCTAGCTTCGGCCAACGAAGCTCGCGAAGCTCTTTTAGAAGCCGTTGAAAGCAAATACCAAACGCAGCTGGCCATCAATCGGACTTTAGAGGAACGGATGCTGGAGTTGCGCCACAAACTCGAAGTGGAGGCGGCGCGTAGACGCACCCACTCACCTGATACTTCTAGTTGTCATGAAGTGCAAGCCTCGACGTCAACAGCTACGACTGCCGCTGCAGGGTTGAGTCCTCAACATTCTTCGCCTTTATCCACTTCTTTGGCTTCGTCTGAAGGGAGTGCTGCTATGCAGGAACTTAGGAATTTACAGGTAAAGATTTGATATTAGAGGGCGCAATTTAGATTTTATATTATGAAGTTAGGGCCGGTATTTCAATGTCACTCTAAATAAGGTACAGAATAACGTCAACTCATCCTTAATACAAGTTTCAAGTTCACCTTAACGCTAAGGGTAAGTCTTGATTTTGAGGTAATATTGAAATACCGACCTTTATTTAAACAGAGAAAATAATATTTTCTAATAAAGTGTTTTATTTGATTCAGATGTTTGTGGACCAAGAAGGTAGTTCAAACGAGGCAACGGGCCTTGGCAAAAACGACTGATTTTTTACCCCCCTCTCCCAATTTCTATTTACTCTTAATACAGAATGCATATAATTTTTATTAGCGTTGAAAGAAAAAATATATGGACGATCGAAGATGGCAAGACAAAGAATCACATGGAAACTGTATAGAATTGATGGCAAAATTAAGTCGATATGGGATGTTTTTGCAAACTTTACCATTACTTCAAATTCATGCTTTTAGTTGAAATAGGACTTAAATTATGGTTGAATACAATGTTTTGCCTACAGAAACCATATTAATTTAATGTGTCTTTCTCTAGCTACTTGCGTATTTTTTGGTCCAAATAAACTGTTTATAGGTTGAAGTGATATGCCCTTTTTGTTTCCTATAGATATTGTTTTGATTTATTTGTTAACCTTATGTAAATTTGAGATCTAAATATTATCTAGAAAACTATGGTTGATAATCATTGAATAAATTCCTATTTGCTCTGTAGTAGATGTCAACCACTCATATCATGCAATATAAAATTTAGGGGGTCTTGAATAGGGTATTGTCATCACAACAAACATCCATTTATGAATGAGATGCGTTGTAATATATCTTTATTATACAATACTCTCCATAAATTGAGTAATTTCTCAAAAACTATACAAAGAACAAATATGACATTTTGTAGTATTATTTTACAGGCATTGGAGCAAGGTATATTAGAAATTCAATTTCAAGGGGAAAACCACCTTTGAATTATAGTGTATAAGCATGTGAAATTCCAGATTCTGTAGTTCAGAAACTTCTCATTTTTATATCAGAACGACTCATTAATGAGTTAATTGTTTCAGAAGTGAATTTTGTTCGCATTTTGAAATTATTCTGAATCAATTATATATTCAGATTTGTCGATTTCGTAAAAGGACATGGAACTCTGAACTGTTTCAGGCTATGTTCCGATATCAACTGTCAGTAGGTACTGAATTTACTGGATACCGCTCCGATATTTTTTTTCAGTACACTGATTCAGTACTGAATGACGTCTTGAATGTGTCAGTAACGTCATTAATATTTACTGGATCTATTGTAGCCAAGGAACCAAGGTTCCAAGGAACTTTCCTTTTGTGGTTTAATGTTCTTCGTTGTCATAAGGTTGTTGTCATAATCGTTGACAGGACAGTGCTGCTACTGCTGAAAACTTGCTGCTACTGCTGAAAACTATACCTTTTTTTTTTCAGCAATACCAGTACGCTGTTGAAATAGGAACGGAAAATGACAGTAAAATCAGTACAGTAAATCCAGTACTGCCAGTTGATATCGGAACATAGCCTTTTTTGTTAGGATGTTGTGGAACCGATAGAACTATACCATTTCGAAATCCAAGCAGCAGTAAATGACATTAAATTATCAACAAACACCAGCCTTCCTATTGGTTGAAACGCCCTACCTGACAGAGGACATTTGATAGGATAAGGAACATAACCAGTATGTCATTTCCTGCCACTTGGATTTGGTTCAACCATAGTTCAGAATCGAATTCGACACTGAGTGTATTTTCATCTCTCTCTCTCTCTTAGTTTTCACGTGAATTTTGTTCGCATTTTGAACCAATTCCGAATCAGTTTAAATACTAATCTTCGTTCGTGGTAAAGGCTCAGAACCAATTCTGAACGCTAAGGAAGCAATCACAATAGATTTTTTTTTGTTAGACTGTCACTTATTGCCATTTTCTATTGTGATTGGTGCCTTAGTGTTCAGAACAGGTTCTGAATTCAGAATTGTCAATTTTTGAACAGGACAAGGACATGGAACTCTGAACTGTTGTTGGTTACATTAGAACCGATAGAACTAGTTCAGAATCGAATTCGACACTGAAAACTAGTTTCACCCAATGAAATTCACTCTGGCTGGTTTGTGATTTCTATGCGAACAGACCTCAGTTTGATCCAAATAATTCAGAATTGTCGATTTTGGAACAGGACATGGAACTCTATGAACTGTTTCAGTTTTTATTGAATGCTTTAGAACCGATAGAATTAGTTCAGCCCGCGGATTCTATTCTACGAGTCGAGTCCAATTGTCTCGATATCGAATACGACAGCTTCGGACGTACCGTGTAATGCCTAATTCTCACTTGCGCGAAACTCGCTCTTTTTTGACATTGTTTCAATAATTTGACGTTTGTTACAATTGCTACACGCACAGAACACGCTACACGCATAATACGTCAAATTGTCGAAACAATGCCAAAAAAAGAGCGAATTTCGCGCAAGTGAGAATGAGGCATAATACGTATAGAAAGATCGAAAAATAGAATAGCGATTTTACATTTCGACTCGACTCGTAAAATAGAATCCGGTAGCAGAATCGAATTCGACACTGAGTGTATTTCCATCTCTTTCTTTTTTGGCCTTCGCATGAACTTTGTTTACATTTTGAACCAATTCGATTTTTGCATGCACTAAGAATTCAAAAACTCCTCATTTTTTTATCAGAACGACTTGTGAGACCCCAAATTCAGAAACTTGACAAGACGTTAGATTGGCGAGCGGTGACTTCAGTTTCTGAGTGGAGACACAGTTTAAAGTGGGTTCTATTTGCGGGTTGAGAGTAAAACGCAGAAATATTGTGGACAGTTTGACTGGACTCACACTCTTGCCTTCACAATTTTTGGCTGAACATAAAAACTCCACTTACATTTAACAATAATATATTTACTGTTAGCCAAACCTAATTACATAGAATTCTTATTGGTTGAAGGATTCTACTTTACTTATGAACATTTAATAAAACTAGAATATTTTCGCGCTGTTATTTCACGTCGTGCTTCTTCTCTCGGTGAATTCGACAACTCTTTCACGCCGTAGTTCTGACTTTCTAGACACAGATTTCTCGATTCTCGATTACTACTTGTTTCTTGATTATTCAATCGACACTGGTCCTTCACGCCGTAGTTCTGACGGTTTACTCGCTCTTTCTCGAACACTGATTTTCTCCTGCCAAAGTTGCCTTTTTATATCATTGGTCCCTCCATTGTCTTGAATTTCTTTATTTTTTCTGACCTCGATTTTTCGTGGTTGAATGATTCGATCAATTAGTGTATTTGGTCCCCTTTTAATCAATTATCAAGGGCGTCGCTAAGTGGTTTGATAAGTGGGTATCATCATATAGGCTCGTGCATGATTTATTGATCCTCTTAGAAATTTTTCGGCTCCTTTGGAATGTTAATTGTTGAAAGCACTTGAAAAAAAATGTCCGTGAACTTTTGCTTTATTCACCTTCCAATGTATTAGTCAATATAGGGTATCGGCTTTCAATAATTTCTGGATATCGATGTTCAAATCAATGTCCTTGTTATTCTTTATTAAAATTTCTGTAGTCACTGCAAACTCATTTCTACTCATTAGTCCAAAATTTTATTCATTTCCAGTAGAATTTCAGTAGGATTTCCTGGGATTCCGTTAAAAGTGGAAAACAAAATAATAACCATAACGTTTTCGAGTATTTAAATTTTTTACATTAGCTGAATGTAATTACTAGAGGCCTTTTCGAATGTAATACCACAAGAGGTTTCAGGATTACCGGATAACACTTTTACCTGTCACGAAACGTGCTACGCAGCAACACCACGACTCCGAAGGAGGAGTGTTGTTGTTGGTAACGCGTTGAGTGTCAGGTAAAAGTATTAGGTAATCCTGAAACATCGAGTGGTATTCAAAAGGGTATACAACGAAATAAACTTTAATACACCAAGCGTGATAATCCCAAAAGGCTTATCACTTGTTAAGCCTCTCGTGTCACATGGGAATAATGTACAGTGGGAATCATTGCAATTGGCACACACTATATAAATATCCCTTGTAATGTGTCAAATCTGACACACAGTTATTAGGCAATTCAATCCATCTGTCAAAAAGGAAAATGCAATGTGGCGTGGCGGCCAAGCAAGTTTGTTTTGAATATGTTTTTATGCGTATTTTAAATTATTTTGCATACAGTTTTGCTTACAACTTTGATTTTCATTATTTAAGAAAATATTTGTTGACTAGGTACCTAAACTATTATTCGGGCAGAAACTAGATATTTTTTTGTGTTTTTTGGCCCATGTGTGGCCGCCACGCCATCTTGAATGTCACGTGGTTTGAATTGCCTAATAGCAAAATGCTGCACTAAATAGATTTTTGGATAGAATTTTGACTTAATACGAGGGATTTTAAAGAATGTGTGCCAATTGCAATGATTCCGACTGTACAGTGAGTTATATAATCGAGTTAAAGCCTAGTACTCATAACTGCGAAATTCGCACTTTTTTGATATTGCTTCGACAATTTGACGTTCGATTCACGCATAAAACGTCAATTTGTCGAAGCAATGTCAAAAAAGTGCGAACTTCGCAGTTTTTTGACATTGTGTTGACAATTTGACGTTTTATGCGTGTATCAAACGTCAAAATGTCGAAGCAATGTCAATAAAATGCGAATTTTGCAGTTATGAGTACTAGGCTTAAGTTCGGAATGGAATTTTAGTGCATTGCTGCGGTGTTTGTGTAATGTTTGGGTGGGTTCGGCTTGCTCACTCCGTGCACTGATTCCATTCGCACTCCAACCGTTCGGGTTAAGGTTCGGGTATTGCTTCTTATCGTATTAGGGGTGACTCCATTAGCTCTGTTCACTCCACTCCAACTCCGCGCTGAATAGCCGAACCCAGCTTTTGTAGTGCAGTGTTATATCACGTGATGAAGGTGTAATCGGCGGTGTAACACTGAATACACCTTAGAGCAGGTAAAGCGCTGTCCTACGGACATAAGAAGTAGGAACGCGCCATTCTGAAAATACCTGGAAAAAAACCGCTTCACTTTCCAAATCCAAGTTACTACTTCTCTTTACCTTCACCTGCTCTAAGGAATTCACCATCATTTTGTACCGAGTAAACGGTGTCCCATCATCTTCACATCATTTGAACACCAAATTATTTCTAGACTCACTAACCCTGATCCGATTAACCCAATCATCAGCTGTTTAATATTCATCTTTCTTTAATGAACATAATTAAAAAAAGACAAAACTACATCAGCCCGTGATCTGATTAATCGGTTCAGTGTTTTCGAAAAACCCTTAGATGACATCTGTGTGTAGAGCATAACCTCACTTTCATTTGCTGTCAAAAATATTTCCCTCCAAAAACAAATTTTAAAAATCGATAACTATTTAGATCATAACAATTTACCCAATAAACCAGAAAAATAATGAGTCCCTAATCAAACCCCAACCAAAAATCCACAATGGGAATCACCGGACTTTTACCCTATCTAGCTCAAGCAACAAGGCAATGCCACATTTCGGAGTTCCGAAACGGTACCGTAGCAGTAGACTCGTACTGCCTGCTCCACAAAGGTACCAACGCTTGTGCCGAACAACTAGCCCGCGGCGAAGACAACCAAATGTACGTAGACTATTGTATCAAGTATGTTAAAATGCTGCTCAACTTCAACATCCATCCTATAATGGTCTTTGACGGTAGAAATTTGCCTGCGAAAGCCGAAACCGAAGCTAAACGCCGCGAGTCACGCAAAAAGGCCAAACAAAAAGCTGCTGAATTGTTGAAGTTGGGTAAAACTGATGAAGCTAGGACTTATTTGAAACAGTGCATCGATGTTACCCCGAAAATGGCACATAATCTCATTAGGGCTTGTAGAAATTTGAATGTCGATTGTATAGTGGCTCCTTATGAGTCTGATGCTCAATTGGCTTTTTTCAATATTAAAAATATCGCTGAATGTATTATAACTGAAGATTCTGATTTGGTTCTTTTTGGGTGCAAAAAGGTTTTGTATAAGCTTGATTTGGCTGGTGCTGGTCAACTGGTGGAAGCTGAAAAAATTTACAATGCAATGAAAATGAGGCCAGATCAATTTACTTTTGAAAAGTTCAGATTTATGTGTATTTTGTCTGGTTGTGATTACGTTAACAGTTTAAATGGTATAGGTTTGAAGAAGGCTGAAAAGTTTCTTAAATTAACTGTTGAAACAAACCCTGAAGTTTTCATTGAAAGAATTCCAAGGTATTTGAATATGAGGCATTTGGTGATTACTGAGGAATATAAGAAAAAAGTTTTAATAGCAAATGCAACATTTCTTCATCAAATGGTTTTTGATCCATATAATAAAATTTTGGTGCATTTAAATGATCCAGAAAAAACTGGCACTAATCCAGATTATCTTATCAATGCTGGGGATAAATTTGATGATGAAAAAGCTTTTCAAGTAGCTTTAGGCAATATAAATCCATACAGTTTTGAAGAGTAGTGATGGGACTTGAACATCGATGTATCGTAAACATCGATGTTATTGCCTTTGATAATCGATGTTTTAGCATCGATGCCAGAAGTTACAGAACATCGACATATCGATGTTCGAACCATCGATATTTCATAATGCGAAAAGTACGGCAAACCTAGGCTCAGACAAGAAATAGGTTGAAAGGAAAAGGAAAAGATTATCAGCCTTTTTATTTTTCAGTTTGTTTTAGGTCGTATTTTTTTGGGAACTCGAGAATTGGGAGTAGTTTTGCTGTTTATATTATTTGATTCCTATTCATTCTGTAATTAATTTATTCGTGTTTTTGCTTTTTTCCAAAATAATGTTTATTTTTGTATCTTTTTGTTTATAAATGTATCTAAATATGTTTTCAATCAGTATTTTTACAAGAACACCAAAAAAACATAATCTCAACATCGAACATCGATGTTTAAAACCATCGATATTTTTCAATCGATATTTTATTGACATCGATAGTATCGAGCGATATCAGAACCGATGTTCAACATCGATGTCTGAGCACCGATGTCACATCACTATTGAAGAGTATGACGATTGGGACCCTTCTGAAGCAAATGTCTCTCAATATAGTATTTGGGCTGGCACATGCAAACGGAGGATATCAAAAAAACAACAAAAGGAAGCACAGAAAGGCAAAATGCAGGAGTTTCTTCACAAAAATACTGTTAGAATTAAGGAAATTGAAGCTCAAGCAGAATTAGAAGCAATTGAAGCTGATCAACAAATTGATAAAGAATTGTCCTTATATACAAAGCCACAAATTGTTGAGGCAAAGGAGGAAGTTGAAATTGAAAACGAACTTTCTCCAGAAATAAAGAAATCTCCCAAAATTAATCCATTCTTAAAAAAAAAATCTTTGAGTAAATTTCCTGAAACTTATACTTATGGTACCAAAACGATAGTGAGAAGTAGATTTTTTGCTCCTAAACTAGTAAAGCCAGAACCTACCTCAAAAGATGATAAGAGTGACATTTTAAATAATTCAATGGAAATGAAGAAATCTACCTCAGAAGATGAGAAAATTGACATGGAAATTAATTCCACAAACAAATCTATCCTCGAAGATGATAAAACTGACATTTTAAAATGCTTGGATAATACAATAGAAATTAATTCAACAAAGAAAAGATCTTTGGAGATCAAGACTGAAGATGTTATTTGTATCGACGACGACACTGTAATTAATAGTGAAAAACCCAAATCTCCTGAACATAAAAAAGTAAAACTTGGACCTTGCAGGACATTGGGCCTATCTCGAAAAAAAACTACAAAGAAACCTCAACAAACCTTGCACAAGTTTTTTGCCAAACTAAAACCTAATTAAGTATTAATTTAATTTTTTTTTGTGATATTTTGAATTTAAGTTTGGTTTTTGACGTATTTTTTAAATAAAACTTTGTTATTGTGAGGTGAGTTTCATTTCTCAACTAGGTCTGTTTCTGCAGAAATCACGAACCAGTCAGAGTGAATTTCATTGGTTGAAACTAGTTTTCTGATTGTTTTGAACCAATGAAATTCGCTCTAATTGATTTTTGATTTCTGCAGTAACATACTACAATATTTCTCGCACATAGAAGTGACCTATTTCTTGACACAGATTATTTATTTATTATTTATTTATTTATTTACGTATAAGAAAAATACATTTGAAGTTGAATAGAGTTTAAATCTAAAAAAATCTAACCTAAAGAACATTCCCAGTACATTCTAAGGATGCAATCTTGTTATGTGGGTAGTTGGTGGGAATGGCCATAAGTGATATTACCAAACTGGATTATTGATTGATTCCAGCAAAGAATGTGAACTAAATGTTAGTAAATAAGAGAACTTTGTACTAACGAACAGAAATGTTTTGAATTTTCAATTGGTAAGATAAATAGAGACATTGAGCTTTTCTTTGTTCCAACCCGGCAGGAAAGCGTAATAATGGCTGTGTTTAACGAGACTTAGCGTAAACCCGCTAGCGCTGAAAGTGCCAGGAAGCGCTAACTGTAGCCGTTGAACGACCTATTTATATTTCAAGATTTTCTCTAAAACATCGGTATTTCCTACCAACATCAACCAAAAACCAGAAGAAAAAATATGTAGGTACCTAATGCTAGGTTAGGGCTTAGGATAGATTCTTTGAATATAAAACTACAGGAAAGAGCCTTTTCTATCTGTCACTATAGACAACGCAGGGACGGAAACAACCATATTGAGCCTCCAAGTATGGACTCATCATTTGTTTTGGTGGTTCGCTGTGTCCCCATTCAAGTAGATGTTTAATGGATTTTAACGGTTTTAAGTGATAATAAGCAATGGGATTAGTGCGAAAAGAGTGAGTCATAATATTGACAATCATATTCAAATAAATATACGCCACTTCCAAACCGGAAATACTATTCGGCCATATGCAACCTCCACATATTTTGGTCGCGCAGATTCGAAGTTATGCTCCTTCCTGTAGTTTTATATTCAAAGGATAGATTAGACATTTATGACATTTCATATTAGCACTAACAACGGCTAACTAAAAATAGCACTTTTTAAATGAGCTAAGTAAGCTGACAGGCGCTTTTGTGCTAACTAGTCGTTTATCGGCTAAGTCCCGTTAAACACAGCCATTATCGTCAGGATTCTGCGCAAAACCTGAAATGTTTGCATAGAAACCGAAATTCGTATAGAGTGGTTCCGAAACCGTTCGGGAACGTTTTTTTTGACGGGTTGGAACAAACCTATTAAATTAGATAATGGTCAAAATCCATACTCAAGTATGCGAATCACATTTAAACTAGGGGCACCAAAGTCAGTTCCCGCTCCATACTAAAAGTAGCCTCGGGCCGGCACTGTAGGTCATCACTGAAAATCACACCACTCAAAGAAAGTTTGTACCTAGCAAACTTAAATTTGTGTTGAACACTCTCAAGCCTATTGATGTGGATCTGATAGTAAGGTGATCAAACTATGCATGAAAATTCCAAAAACGGACCTGACCAGTGATGTGTAAAGAATTTTGATAGGGCGTATACTTGTAAAGTCCCTAGTAGCTCTCTTAATAAAACCCAACATTTTATTAGCCCTGCCAATTACCACTTCAAAATGCTCAGTGAACATTAGCCTAGTATCTAGATAGACACCAAGATCTTTAATGATAGAAACTTCAGACAAGCGAACATTGTTTAAGTAATACTGCAAGGGAACACTATGGGTGCGTCTACTGAATCTTATATAACAACACTTATTGATGTTGAGGGACATGTAATTAAGCTGACACCAATCGTGAACGATGTTAAGATCATTTTGCAAAATAAGTATGTCTTGAGCTGACATCACCTGACGATACAACTTCAAGTCATCAGCAAAAAGTGAAAAATTTGAGGAGAGCAACGATCCTAAATCGTTGATAAATAAGTTGAATAAAAGGGGGCTCAAGTGAGAACCTTGGGGTACCCCAGAGGATGCATGGAAAAGAGAAGAAAGATAGTCATCGATCTTGACTTGTTGCCTTCTGTTAGTAAGGGAAGATTTCATCCATGAAAGTAAATGTCCAGAAACGCCGAAACTTGAAAGCTTTGAAAGAAGGATGTTGTGGTTTACTTTATCAAAGGCTTTACTGAAGTCAGTATATATTGTATTATAAGCAAATGATGAATTTATAAATCTTGTAAAGAGAAACAGGTTCGTCTCAATCTCAAATCTACCGGCTGTAAAACCGTGCTGTTGACTGATCACAATCTGATGAAATATTTTTGAAAGAATTTCTTCCACGCACTGCTCAAATAATTTTGGAATCGCAGACAGAATGCTGATGGGTCTGTAATTTGTTACATTATTTTTGCAGCCTGACTTGTAAATAGGACAAACGTAGGAGAGCTTCCACATTTCTGGAAAAATTCCAGAAGATAATGATTTGTTGAAAATATTAAATAGAGGGAGATACAAAGTGTTAAAACAAGATTTTAGTACTCTGTTGGCAATTCGGTTGGGTCTATGACAATGCTTAATTGAAACATTCTCAAATCGATCAGCAAAGGTTCCAGCGTCGGAATTTCTCTGAGGGTTATAGACAGAGGAGAAATAGACAGCAAAAAGATTAGCTAAGTCAACACCGTTGGACGCCTTTTCTGAGGCAAGAAACATTTCGTTAGGAAAAGTACCCTGATTAATTAGATTGGGAGTGAATAAAGTTCCACAAAATTTTCATATTGGTGCCTATGGCTCTTTCAGTATCACTTATGTATAATTTGTAGCACTCCTTAGTGAGGGTTTTACAGTCTCTTTAAAGTGAACCAAATGCAAAGTAATCCAAACCACTATTCGACCGCTTGAATCGTTTGTGAGCAATTTTCTTTTGAAATCAGATTTTTCAATTCGTTAGAGAACCAGATAGGAAATTTGTCGCTGTCAGAATGTGCCTTTATGGGAACAAACATATTAAAGCAGTCGAACAGTACCGAGTAAAAGTTCTTAACAGTTTCGTTTAGATCCTCCATCATAATGGATCGCCAGTCAAAGGAAAGAATATATTCATTAACTAAATCCATACTAAATCGAGACATGATACAACATGAATGCAACTGACAAACAGAGCTGGGTATTTGCAATTCTAAATACTTTTTAGTATTTAAATACTTTTTATATTTAGTATTTATTTCTTTTCAAGTCAAATAGTATTTAGTATTTAAATACTTTTTGAAAGTATTTTGCCCAGCTCTGCTGACAAACAAACCCCCTCTCATCGGTTAAAGCTGGTATTTTTGAAAACTGCATTTATTGGAATAAAGCTCATATAAGTATAGTCTGGCAAGTGGTAACTTGGTAGAGACGAAAGGGGGAAGAAAAGTGGGGCGTGACCTAAAAATATTCACTGACACCTCAACTGACACCGCCTGATGACAGCCATGTCTTTGAGTTCAGTGGCACCGAAAACACTAAGGAAATAAACCAATAAAATTATTAGAAAAACAAACTCTGGATTCGCCGATAACCACGCCACTGCGTGCTGTCATTCAGGCTCTAACCAATAGAATCATGCCTCTGAATAATCACGCCTCTCCACATCCATTGGTTCGCAATGTTGCCGGATTTTTTTCTATTTCAAAATATTATACCTGCCCATATAGCAAAAATAGTATATTACATACCGAGGTGGGAAGTGATTCATTAGGTCTGTTCGCAGAGAAATCACAAACCAGTCAGAGTGAATCTCATTGGTTGAAACTAGTTTTCTGACTGTTTCTGATTGTTTTCAACCAATGAAATTTGCTCTGACTGGTTTGTGATTGCTCTGCGAACAGGCCTAATACTGTCGAGAGATTAGTTAGTTAACTGAGACGCGAAGCGTTGAAGTTAACTATAATCTCGAGACAGGAATGAAACTTCCTACCGAGGTTTGTATACTATTTTATTTGCAACAATTACAACCCTCATAATTTCGACTAAATACTAAAAATAATTTTAAAAATTTGTTGACAAGTTCTGACTCATTTAAAAAAACGTTTGACATGCAGGACTCGTCTTAAACATTTTAGGAAATGAGAACTTACTTTCCACCCGGGTGGAAAGTGAGCACTTTCCACCTGGGACCATTTTCCACCCGGGTGGAAAGTAAAATTCAAAAAAGTGTCACTTTCAAACTTTTGAAAAGTCAGAAATGTCAACATTACGTATGTGGTTGTAAATAAAAATATGTTACCAACTTGTTTATTATTGTTTCCGTCAAGTTTGGCAAAGCAGCAAATTCTTTTGGAGTTCGCCGTTTGGCTAGCCAGACAATATATATTGTATTATTTTAATGATAAAAAAATCTAATTTATTTACAAAATAATATATGGAATGAAATCATTCATCGACCATTAACTTTTGTGGAATATAGTTATTTTGAGGGGGTGCTGATGTTTCCATTTCTTGTATACGCTCATAAAGTTGATACAAAGAAAAACTGATACCCCCCAACAAAATCATAATCTGCATAAACTTTTGATTAGTTAAATATATAATAAGCAACATTATTAGGTAGCCTGCACTTGACGTTTCACTATGTGAATCTGAAAAAACAATACAAATTCAATTTGGTTTAGTTTATTAGTTCTAAAACCCCAAACCTTTCTGTTGCTCAAGCAAACAACGTAAGCGTGGTCCTCATAAGTAACTGTAAGACGCTTGAAGCCTTTATCGAAAGCTTTGGGGTCCAATCGGTTGTGCGCTAAAGTAATTAGACCGTGCAGAATGCCAGCAGTCTTTTCATCATTCTTTAAATCGCCTTCGCTGGCCAAAACGGCCCCTTCTGAGTTTAATGTAAGGTAGCCAATTTGTCCCTGGATATTTGGGCGATCCATTACATAGTTTGTACTGGAATTTGGATTAAGATTTCAGAGTGAACAACTACAGGAATGTGAGTGTTTTTTGATACTTGCCTTTGAACTAAATGCCTTGCTATGTGATCATAGTATGTGATAAAAGAATATTTATTTTATAGTAGTTTTAGGGAGGGAGTTTTACTCAATCAAAACAAAAACATTTTATCAATGAAATCAGCTGATTCCAGTGTTGCCATTTATCCATTTTTTTTTTTGATACGTCCATTGAATGCACCCATGTTCCTCATGAAGTTATTTTGGTATTGGAATTTCTTTATTTAATTAATTTATTATAAATAAAACTTCAATTTAACTTAAAGTAATTTATTTTAAACATAAAAAACTCTATTTGTGAGCGGCGGCAGCCTTTCTCATTTGGGTGAGGATGTTGGAGAGCTCTTCACGCTTCCTCTTGGCTCTGATGTGCGTGCCAAGACGTCTCTTCAGGAATTTCAGGGCCCTCTTGTCCTTAGAAACCTGAAACAAGCAAAATAATTCAATTTTTTCAAGTTGATGCTTGAAAAAAATTAAATTACCTTGAGCAATTCCATGGCTCTCTTTTCGTAAGGTGCATGTCCGACAACTTCCCGGATCAAGTCTCTGACGAATTTAGTGTGATGGGTCTGGATTCCCTTCAACCTGGCGGGACGTACTTTGTCGGCCTTGGTTTTTCCCGACGGGATTTTGGTGGTTTTGTGCCCTTTTTGGAGCCCCACGGCTATTTCATACCTGGGTGCCATGCTACAACAAAAATTAAAGGTTATAGTGATGTTTTTTGATCGGAAATGGTGGTTTTCTAAGGCGTATGGAACAAGGGAGGCAGGCATAGATAGAATTTGATAATTATCAAGGAATTTACTTACTTTTTATTAGAAATTTGCGGATAAGTTACCGCGTGTTGTGGTCTTCACTACTTGTCAAATTAAAAAGAAAAATGGCCGCTGGAAAATTTCTCAGATGCAAAAATTCTTAACTTGGCAACATTGTAAACTGGGTTCGGTTTTTTTACTCTGTGCACTCCAAGTATTCCGTTCGTTCAAGAACCGAGTTCACGTTCGGATATACAGAGTCGACTAAACAAATGGGGTATACTTTAAAAGTTCCACCTGGAACGTTCGGGCATATTTTAGCGCTCTAGAACACGTAACAAAAAACCCTGCTCTGACTCCCGTTCGGTATTTTGATCTGAGTTCTCCGAGCTTGAATTTACCGTTCGTTTATTTAAGAAGTGTACTCGGTGCAGACTCATTCGCGTTCGTTTTTTAAAATTTCTGGCACTTTGATATAGCGTTCAACTGCTCTGTTCGCTCGCTGGTCACGTGATTACGGCTCCACTCAGCACGCTCTGCTCTTCGAGCAAAATACCGAACGCAAGATTAGTTCTGTTGACATGACACTGAGGTTATGTTAAAAATTTTCTAGTAGCACATAAACAGAAAGTTATTTTTATATTAATTTAAATCAAAAAAAGCCTTTTTAGGAGCGACAACATGTCTGGGGCCAGCGTAAACGTTTTAACTTTAAACGGCCGCAGGCAAACAGTAAAATGTACTCCAAACACTACAATTTTGCAGGTAAATTAAAAACTATCCTTTTGCTTGTAAATATTGCACTTATCGCTTTGCAGATAATCGAGGAAGTGTGCAAAAAGCAGGGCCTCAACCCTATCGAATACGACATCAAACATCATAATAAGATTTTGGATACGACTGCTACTTTTAGATTTTCTGGGCTGCCTAATAACGCTCAGCTAGAACTAGCGGTTGCTGTTAAAAATCGAGAGGAAGGCGATATTACTCTAGCGGTTAATCTGGAAAATGGATCTAGAGTTACAGGTAACAAATTATTAATGACATCTTAACACAGATAGACACTATGGGCCGAATTTATAATCGCTCCTTGAAGTTTCTTCAGACCTTAAGGAAGTCTTGAATGTTTATATTGTTGCCGTGTAAGGTCATGATTATTGACGCTCCGTAAATTTTGTTGTGAAAGTCGGGTTTAGTATCGTTATTTATATGGTTTGTGGTTTCATTGTGATGGTTATAGTGTGGACAATTGTTTTGTGAAGGGCCCCTATGAGTAAAGCGGCGTTTCCACATGCATAGTTTATTGGTGCTAGTCAACTGGCGTAACTTTTCTGGCACGTGGAAAAGCAGAAAATTAACTGGCACCAGTTAACTGTCGCAACTTTTTCATGCGCCAGTAAAGTAGAATGGAGGTCTACTTTTTGGCGCCAGTTTGCCATGTGTGACAGTTTGTCAAAAAAAATACAAACGTTTTCACTAGTGGTTCCCAAAAAATTGAACATATTAAGTTTATGGAAGAGCATCCCTGTTTGTGGAATCACAAACTTTTGTGCTACAAACACAGGAAAAACTGCATGATGCTATAAGGATAAGTGTTGACGTATTGTGCGGGTTCTCGCGTTCTTAAGTGGCTTTGATATCACTGCTGCTAAAAGCAAAATAAGAAGCTTTGGAAATTCTTCATGGTCTTCATCCGCTAACTCAGACAGTTAATTATTTGATGCTTCTAGAGCTTTTCTACGTGAAATCCATCTTAGGTTTATGTCTCTCCTTCTTGTTTTTTCAGATCTTCTGCAATAATTCTAGAAACAAAATATCCGCAGCAACATTAATACCTGCTTGAACCATTTAAGTTGACGCCATTTTCAATTTTTCTACTGCGCCAGTTAAAAGTTTTTGATATCAAGTGGAAACAGATACTGGCGCCACTATTATTACGCCAACAAACTGGCACGTGCACTAGCGCCAATAAAATATGCGTGTGGAAACGCCACTTAACTCGAACAAAACTCCAGTAAAATTGAAAAAACTTTCCATTAATCCTATCGCGACACCAGTATAAATTCTCATTTCTTGCCTCCTTTTTTTGGCGTACTGACATTCCTACAGATAGTCTAAACATCTTTTTATCGGAAATACCTGTTTTATTATTTTTATTTGTGGTACCTACCAAAAAACCTTATCAGTTGTGGGAATTCCAATTATATAATTATATACACAAACTAATAAAAATGCAGTGTACAGTCTGCCAAGAAAATTGTTTCAATAAAAGAAGATCACAAATGAGGGATAGAGGGTTGTTTGGAGCATGTTGCGATTTTTGTATGAGAGCTTTTTGTAAAATCTGTTTGGAGACGACAGTAACTGAAAACGATTGTCTTGTCTTGGGTCAGAGAAAGTTGATTTTTGGTTGTAATGAGTGTAAAACTCAACTTTTTAGCTGCATTGAAGAGCTGTCACATCTGAAAAAGGCGCATGAGAAATGCATAAATGAGATAAAAAGTAAAGACATTATCATGGAAGAGTATCAGATTAAAAATGACGACTTGGAGACAGAGATTAAGAAACTACAAATAGAGATATTGGACAGAAATAAATACATTTTCAGACTGCAGAGAGGGTCAATTCAATACCATGTAAATACAATTGAAAAATTAAACAAGGACTCTAAAAAACTAAATGAGGAAATTATTCACCATCAGAAGGAAAAAGAAGAAATAAATGAAAATCTGGAAAATTTAACCAAAAATCTACATGAAAGTGAGGAAAAAAATCAAAATATGGCATTAGAAATTACAAAGCTTAATAATTGTAATAAAAATAAAAATGAAACATCAAATATGTATATCTAAAAAGTCTGCAGATCAATCCAACTACAGTCTACAGCTGGAACTTAGAAATCTTGAAGCTGAAAAAGGAACAGAAATTAAAAACTTAAATATCAGAATTAGTGATTTAACAGATGAAAATCGAGAGTTTTTAGAAAAAGCTAAAAACATTAAAAATACTAATAATAAATTAAAACAAGAACTATGTGAACTGAAAGAATTGCAGAAGCAAATGATTGTCAGTCTGAATACCATGGAGGAAGAAAATAAACTATACAACACAGAAATAAGAGAACTTAAAAACAAATTATGCCAAACACAGACAGCAATGAAGAAGCCCACAACTGAAAATAAATTGCAAAAGGATAAAAATAAAAACTTTTATAGTGGAGAGCCACAGAATAAAAGAAACGTGAAAAGTGTATATGACAATAACACACCCGGTAATGTTCAGCAAAAAACATATGTGCAAAAACCCAAAATATTACTGCTAACTGATTTATATGGCAAATATCTACACGAATACATTACCAGTTGCTTTGGTGAGGGTTGTATTGTTCAAACAGTTTGCAAACCAAATGCAGGGTTGTCAGATTTTGTTATGGATTTGGACTGTTACATCATTTGATTTTTTGATTTTTTAATCTTTTAATTTGCACTATGCCAGCTAGGTTTTTATCTAGATATAAGCAAGATTTAGTACATAAGATGAATCAAAGCCTTATTAAGTATGCTGAGCTATTGAAGTCTTTTTCGATAAGTGTAGATTTGCTGGATCTGGAGAACGCCTTTCGACCAGCTGACTATATTAGAAGCACACCTTTCTTGAAAAGAAGTGGCCTTAAATCTCTTTCAAAGTTGATGTGAAACCTAATTGGTTAATTTTAGAGGAAAACCGATTTCAGATTCCTATCTTAGATTTTGATAAACTATCATTTGACACCAACTTTGAACTTAACCGGAGATTAAATTTAACTGAAATTTTTAATCATGGATTTAATTCAAAGATGGTGTCAAATGATAGTTTATAAAAATCTAAGATACGAATGTAAAATCGGTTTTCCTCTAAAATCAACCGTTCAGGTTCTACAGCCTGTCAAAGTTGCAAAAAGTCAATTTTCAACTATCAATATTTCCAAAACAGTTGAACTTAGGTATAGGGTATATCACATGAAATCTGCTCAGAATTTTACGTAGAATCCAAATATGCAATTTAATACGGGGTGTTCCATTTAAAATAGTGATGTTGCCACTAGTTTAGAGTAGAAGCGGCAACACCGCATGATCAAAAATATTTTTAAAGTGTAGATCATGGTCGTTTATCCCGGTTGCCAAGTTTTCAAAATGATCCGCTTTTTAGTTATCCATAAACGTCTAATACGCCATCCACCGTGGGACACCCTGTATATCTAAGTGCTCTCTTTTGAATAACAAATATAGAGTTCAGAAGTCGCAGACTACAAAAGCCCCAAAACACAATGCCGTATCTTAGACGAGACTCGAGCAAAGAATGGTATACCATCTTCGCCGCTGAAGAACCAAGCTCCACAGATACCACCCTGATCGCGAAGCAACTTGATGCCAATCTCTTGCCAAGCTCAGTAATATGTTTCTCAAACTTCAGCTTCGTATCAATATAAAGACCAAGAAATTTGGCATCCGTTCTGCTTTCTATGGGTTTATCATCCATGGTAAGATCGTTAAGAGCAAAACCAAACGTCAAAATATTAGTTTTACTTATATTGAAACACAAAAAATTTGAGTCACACCAAGTCTTCATTTTTTTTAAGTCACTATCAACATCATTTCTCAAATGTTCCTGATCTTTCGAGTGCCATAAAAGAGTGGTATCGTCCGCAAAAAGGGTAAATTTGCCCTCAATATCCAAACTTGTAACATCATTTATGTAGAGCAAAAACAATAACGGGCCTAGAACCGCACTCCAAAGTCCACACCAGATAAAGCAGAACAGCCTACGTCAGTCTTCACAAACTGCGACCTTTCTGAAAGCTTACTATCTATAATAGAAAAAAAGTTATGCCCTTCCAAAGTTTTCCAAAATCTAAATCATAAGGTAGCTAGGTAGGATATGATACGAAATTATTGATGAAAGCAGGCTTCTCTTTGCATACAAGTTGTTGATAACGGGTCTCTCTAAGCTTTTTCTTCGCTTCACTTCTACGGGAGTTACACGTATTATATAGGTTTTTTATTTGAGGACGCCCAAATACGAGATAACTCGAATAGGTTTTTTTCCAAAAAAACAAGTGCCAATGAGGTTTGAATATAAAAAAGATGATTTTGATCAAAAATCCACAAAGGAAAATCACTTGGATATAATGGGCGTCTGGAGCTAAATGCTAAATTCTTAAATCAGGCTCGGTAGTCAACGTGTTAACACGATTTTATCTTAGGAACTATAAGCGCAAATGAGCTGAAATTTTCAGGGATTGTAGTCCCTTTATTGAGATAAATTTCAGTGAAAATTTCAGCGTTCTATCAATAATAGAAAAAAAGTTATGCCCTTCCAAAGTTTTTCAAAATCTAATTCATAAGGTAGCTACCTTTTTACTAAAACGATGAAATTTCAATTTTTTTTTTGTAGAGAGTTTGTATCCTAATGGTCAATTAACATCTCCCAAACTCCATACACTAAATTATTTTTAGTTTTGAAGCCGAAATCTATAAAAAAAGGTCTCAGAAAAATATATAAATTGATACTTATTTCAGGGGAGCCTTAACGATAAGTGTTTCCTAAAATTAGATTTTTACATGGAGAAATATCAGTTTAGGGAATATTTATCCTTAAGGTTCCCCTAAAATACCTGGTGGAAACCAAGGTAAGGAACATATAGTTATCTGATACTAGTGATAGTTCGGACACTGGGGCTGTGGAGTTTCGACCCTTCGCTGAATCGCTAGCGGTGGGGATAGATGACCCCGGGGCTTGACGCCCTGATTAAAAAGCACGGTTGACAAATTTCAAAATTGTGATCCAGGGCGCCCTAAAAGAGAGCAACTCTTGTGTTGCACATCGTTGAATAGCTCCTTGCTTTCCTTTTACAGTCTTATAGCAAAATCTTAAATCGTACGATTAGTTTTTGACATATCAGTGTTCAGAAATAAGCATATTACTTGGAAAAGGCCTTTCCAAAAAAATTAAATTTAGGAAGGTTTGTTTTTTAATTAATATTTAACCTCGGCTTAACTGAATAACCATCTACTAATAAACCGGTCCTGAGTCTTCAATTTTTTTGAAGCAAACTCAAAACAGGATAACATTTGTAACAATTTGGTAATCTAAGAGATACACCTGAGATAGATCACTCTCCTAGTGTTAGCAATACAAAAGGTCTGTTCTCACAGAAATCACAAACCAGTTGGAACAAATTTCAATGGTTGAAAATAGTCAGAAAACTGGTTTGCACCAATCAAAAACGCTCTGACTAGTTTGTGATTTCTGTGAGAACAGACCTAAAATATTGTTTCCTGTAATGTCTATCTGTGTTCATTAGTCCATAATTATTACAAAAAAATATATATATATATATTTGCCAGGCATTTTTACTCCAAATGATACCCTATTGAATGTCCTGAATAAGCTTTGTCCAGAAAACTCCAGTCCCGATAAAAATCCTGTGGTAATTTATACTAGAAGAGAAATCTATGGACGAGAATTAGAAAATTGCACTTTAAGAAGTTTGGGTTTGGTAGGAGGCAGAGCAATGATAAGAGTCCTAAATAGAGATCCAAAACTTTTACATCAACAAGCTAACATAAGCGCTCTACTACCATCAAAACCAGTGGAAGAAAAACCTTACATAAGAAAATTTCAACCTATTGATAATCCTTCTAAACAACAACAATCTGTTGATAATCCTTCTACGCAATTACCAAATGAATCTCATAAGGATAACAATGAAAGTTGGTACAATTATGGTAAAGGAAATAAGTTGGGAAGTTCTGAGGAAAAATCCCAAATACAACCGCAAAAAAATGTCAAAAATACTACAGTGGATATTTTGAAGTTGGCCAAAGAAAAACGAAAATCTCCAGAGAATCAAAAAAATCCTGACATCAAAGGTAAAAAGAAAATGACAAAGAATGTACCACAAAAAAGCATTGAGGAAGAATTTGTTTTTGTACGCTTATACTTTTTTTTTTGCAAAATCAATAATTAGATAGTTTTAGTGTGGTGAAAGAAATGGAATGATCTTCTCTTTGGAATCAGCCCATTCAGTACCATCCGAAGAACTACCAGACGATTTTTTCGACCTTACAATAGATGATGCCAAAAAAATTCTGCGAGATGTCAAAAAGAAGAGGCACGAACTGGAAAATCAAGTTTTGAAAACTTCACAATTGAGGACTTTGGAGGAGTCCAAAAAACAACTGAGGAATTTGAACAAGTAACTACAAGTTTTATTTAATAAATTTTATATCAATGGTGTTTTGTTGTAGGTATAAACGTGCCATAATTAGAGTGCAATTTCCAGATCGCACTGTAGTGCAAGGCACTTTTAAGCCTACCGAAACTGTACGAGACGTTTTGGATTTTGTAAAAGGATATTTGGAGGATCAAAACATTGATTTTTATATTTGTAAGTTGATGAATTTTTTTTTTTATATCCATTGAAACCAATTTGTTTTTGTTTTCAGATTCTACACCACCAAAGGCAATTTTACAAAAAGAAAGTAGACTGATTGAAATTGGTTGTGTGCCAGGCGCTTTATTGTATTTTGGTACTAATTTAGAACAAAAAGATGATTTTTTGAAGAAGGAATTGCAAAATATGTTCACTACAAACAGTGTAGCCAGTTTGGCTGCAGCTAGAATAAGGTAATAATCAAATTAGAATAAAAATTAAAATAATGAGAAATATTTAGGCACGAAAATACAAGAAACATTGAAGAGCCTGAAGAAGAAGAATCGTTCATGGACACATCAGATGATCACAGCAATATTGTTAATTACGGTGCTAGCACCAGTGCCAGCGCTGACAGCAGTGAAAGAAAAATCGTTACCGATTCAAAACAATTTCCCAAGTGGTTCAAACCCCATTAAAGAAGAATTATTGAACATTTGATTTTTATTAGAAAATAAATTACACTTTTAAAGTCACACACTATTATATATTGTTGTATAATTAAATTAAAAAAGAAAAAAACTAAACCTAGAAACATAACAAAAAATAATAAAAAAAAAAACATTTTTTGTCTGCATTGTGTAAAATGAAGTGTATATACAACTTAACACTAAAAAAAAATACTAATTAATTTGAAAAAAAAAAGAATACATTTTTACATTATCGGCAATATTGTTTTTCTTGCCTCGCATTCTAAACCTTTACGTTATTTTGTATATGAGGCAAATGTCAAAAATTAATTTTTTGCCTAAAAATTACAAATTTTAAATATCTGAAAAATCTAACAGTAACAGTTTTGGTAAGAATACATTACAAAAAAAAAAAGTCAAATTACGTTGTTGCCAAATTCAAAAAAAAAAAAATAAGTTCTAACTGGCTTTATTCAAACTCAATCGTTTCTTAGTAGGCGCCCCCTCAACACAAACACTTTTTCTCCTAGTAGGCAAACCGTCAGGGCCGCCTTTGACGCGCCTCTGCAATCCTATGTTGCCAGTTTTCCTGCCAGCTTGGGGTGTCGTTTTGGAAGTAGACGGTTGTTTTTCTGAAGGATGCGGCGATTGCAAAGGGTTGGCTTTGTACAACTTGTGAGCGTCCAATTGAGCTTGTCTCGATTGTTTCAAAACTGTTTTTATTGCTTCTGATTCGCCCATCATTTGCTGGAGCTTTTGCAGGGTGGTGTAAAGACACACTGCACTTAACAATCCAAAATCGAACAATGAAGTTAGATGCAGAACAAAGTTTCTGTATAGGTTTTTGAGCAGTAGCTCTTTGCCTTTTTGCTGGACAAACATTTGACAGGCTCGAGGTATTTGACAGTCGCCCACGTAGCCGTACTTCATCACGTGCAAGTTCCACATTTTCATCAGTTCTTTTTCGCCTTCGTTAACGTCCGTGAACTCGTCGATCATCATCCTGGTTTTGTTTTGGAGCCATTCCGGGTCGTTTTCGCCTTCAGAATCGCAGTCCATTTCTTTGGGAAAGATTGGTAGACATGTGTTTGTGTGATGATACAATCTATGTACAGATAATTTAATGAGGAATAGTTTTTGGAAAAAAAAGTGAGAAGTTTGGCAATATTGCTTGTACAGGGTGGGCCAATTTGGATACTTGGTAGAATTAATGTGAAAAAAATGTATTTCTATCTGTTTTTTAAATAAGCTGAGAGATAGAGATAGAAATACACTCGATGAGTCCAATTTTTTTAAATTACAAACCAGTCAGAATGAATTTCTGTTCGAAAATAGTCGGAAAACAAACGATTTTATCTCAGGAACTATAAGTGCAAATGAGCTGAACTTTTCAGGGATTGTAGTCCTTTAAAAGGGATAAAATTCAGTGAAAGTTTCAGCTTTCTATCTATAATAGAAAAAAAGTTATGACCTTTCAAAGTTTTCCAAAATCTAAATCATAAGGTAGGTACCTTCTTACTAAAATGATGAAATTTCAATTTTTTTTTTATCGAGATTTTGTATCCTAATGGTCAATCAACATACCCCAAACTCCATACACTAAATTATTCTCAGATTTGAAGCCAAAATCTATGAAAAAAAACACTCAGAAAAATCTAAAAATTGATAAATCACCCCAAATTGCTTAACACGATTTTATCTCAGGAACTATAAGTCCAAATGAGCTGAACTTTTCAGGGATTGTAGTCCTTTAAAAGGGATAAAATTCAGTGAAAGTTTCAGCTTTCTATCTATAATAGAAAAAAAGTTATGACCTTTCAAAGTTTTCCAAAATCTAAATCATAAGGTAGGTACCTTCTTACTAAAATGATGAAATTTCAATTTTTTTTTTATCGAGATTTTGCATCCTAATGGTCAATCAGCATACCCCAAACTCCATACACTAAATTATTCTCAGATTTGAAGCCAAAATCTATGAAAAAAGGCACTCAGAAAAATTGATAAATCACCCCAAATTGCTTAACACGATTTTATCTCAGGAACTATAAGTGCAAATGAGCTGAAATTTTCAGGGATTGTAGTCCTTTAAAAGGGATAAAATTCAGTGAAAGTTTCAGCTTTCTATCTATAATAGAAAAAAAGTTATGACCTTTCAAAGTTTTCCAAAATCTAAATCATAAGGTAGGTACCTTCTTACTAAAATGATGAAATTTCAATTTTTTTTTTATCGACATTTTGTATGCTAATGGTCAATCAACACACCCCAAACTCCATACACTAAATTATTCTCAGATTTGAAGCCAAAATCTATGAAAAAAGGCACTCAGAAAAATTGAAAAATTGATAAATCACCCCAAATTGCTTAACACAATTTTATCTCAGGAACTATAAGTGCAAATGAGCTGAAATTTTTAGGAATTGAAGTCCTTTAAAAGGGATAAAATTCAGTGAGAGTTTCAGCTTTCTATCTATAATAGAAAAAAAGTTATGACCTTTCAAAGTTTTCCAAAATCTAAATCATAAGGTAGGTACCTTCTTACTAAAATGATGAAATTTCAATTTTTTTTTTTATCGAGATTTTGCATCCTAATGGTCAATCAGCATACCCCAAACTCCATACACTAAATTATTTTCAGATTTGAAGCCAAAATCTATGAAAAAAGGCACTCAGAAAAATTGAAAAATTGATAAATCACCCCAAATTGCTTAACACGATTTTATCTCAGGAACTATAAGTGCAAATGAGCTGAAATTTTCAGGGATTGTAGTCCTTTGAAAGGGATAAAATTCAGTGAAAGTTTCAGCTTTCTATCTATAATAGAAAAAAAGTTATGACCTTTCAAAATTTTCCAAAATCTAAATCATAAGGTAGGTACCTTCTTACTAAAATGATGAAATTTCAATTTTTTTTTTATCGAGATTTTGCATCCTAATGGTCAATCAGCATACCCCAAACTCCATACACTAAATTATTTTCAGATTTGAAGCCAAAATCTATGAAAAAAGGCACTTTGAAAAATTGATAAATCACCCCAAATTGCTTAACACGATTTTATCTCAGGAACTACAAGTGCAAATGAGCTGAAATTTTCAGGGATTGTAGTCCTTTAAAAGGGATAAAATTCAGTGAAAGTTTCAGCTTTCTATCTATAATAGAAAAACAGTTATGACCTTTCAAAATTTTCCAAAATCTAAATCATAAGGTAGGTACCTTCTTACTAAAATGATGAAATTTCATTTTTTTTTTTATCGAGATTTTGTATCCTAATGGTCAATCAACATACCCCAAACTCCATACACTAAATTATCCTCAGATTTGAAGCCAAAATCTATGAAAAAAGGCACTCAGAAAAATTGAAAAATTGATAAATCACCCCAAATTGCTTAACACGATTTTATCTCAGGAACTATAAGTGCAAATGAGCTGAAATTTTCAGGGATTGTAGTCCTTTGAAAGGGATAAAATTCAGTGAAAGTTTCAGCTTTCTATCTATAATAGAAAAAAAGTTATGACCTTTCAAAATTTTCCAAAATCTAAATCATAAGGTAGGTACCTTCTTACTAAAATGATGAAATTTCAATTTTTTTTTTATCGAGATTTTGCATCCTAATGGTCAATCAGAATACCCCAAACTCCATACACTAAATTATTCTCAGATTTGAAGCCAAAATCTATGAAAAAAGGCACTCAGAAAAATTGATTAATCACCCCAAATTGCTTAACACGATTTTATCTCAGGAACTATAAGTGCAAATGAGCTGAAATTTTCAGGGATTGTAGTCCTTTGAAAGGGATAAAATTCAGTGAAAGTTTCAGCTTTCTATCTATAATAGAAAAAAAGTTATGACCTTTCAAAATTTTCCAAAATCTAAATCATAAGGTAGGTACCTTCTTACTAAAATGATGAAATTTCAATTTTTTTTTTTATCGAGATTTTGCATCCTAATGGTCAATCAGCATACCCCAAACTCCATACACTAAATTATTTTCAGATTTGAAGCCAAAATCTATGAAAAAAGGCACTCAGAAAAATTGAAAAATTGATAAATCACCCCAAATTGCTTAACACGATTTTATCTCAGGAACTATAAGTGCAAATGAGCTGAAATTTTCAGGGATTGTAGTCCTTTGAAAGGGATAAAATTCAGTGAAAGTTTCAGCTTTCTATCTATAATAGAAAAAAAGTTATGACCTTTCAAAATTTTCCAAAATCTAAATCATAAGGTAGGTACCTTCTTACTAAAATGATGAAATTTCAATTTTTTTTTTATCGAGATTTTGCATCCTAATGGTCAATCAGAATACCCCAAACTCCATACACTAAATTATTCTCAGATTTGAAGCCAAAATCTATGAAAAAAGGCACTCAGAAAAATTGATTAATCACCCCAAATTGCTTAACACGATTTTATCTCAGGAACTATAAGTGCAAATGAGCTGAAATTTTCAGGGATTGTAGTCCTTTGAAAGGGATAAAATTCAGTGAAAGTTTCAGCTTTCTATCTATAATAGAAAAAAAGTTATGACCTTTCAAAATTTTCCAAAATCTAAATCATAAGGTAGGTACCTTCTTACTAAAATGATGAAATTTCAATTTTTTTTTTTATCGAGATTTTGCATCCTAATGGTCAATCAGCATACCCCAAACTCCATACACTAAATTATTTTCAGATTTGAAGCCAAAATCTATGAAAAAAGGCACTCAGAAAAATTGAAAAATTGATAAATCACCCCAAATTGCTTAACACGATTTTATCTCAGGAACTATAAGTGCAAATGAGCTGAAATTTTCAGGGATTGTAGTCCTTTGAAAGGGATAAAATTCAGTGAAAGTTTCAGCTTTCTATCTATAATAGAAAAAAAGTTATGACCTTTCAAAATTTTCCAAAATCTAAATCATAAGGTAGGTACCTTCTTACTAAAATGATGAAATTTCAATTTTTTTTTTATCGAGATTTTGCATCCTAATGGTCAATCAGCATACCCCAAACTCCATACACTAAATTATCCTCAGATTTGAAGCCAAAATCTATGAAAAAAGGCACTCAGAAAAATTGAAAAATTGATAAATCACCCCAAATTGCTTAACACGATTTTATCTCAGGAACTATAAGTGCAAATGAGCTGAAATTTTCAGGGATTGTAGTCCTTTGAAAGGGATAAAATTCAGTGAAAGTTTCAGCTTTCTATCTATAATAGAAAAAAAGTTATGACCTTTCAAAATTTTCCAAAATCTAAATCATAAGGTAGGTACCTTCTTACTAAAATGATGAAATTTCAATTTTTTTTTTTATCGAGATTTTGCATCCTAATGGTCAATCAGCATACCCCAAACTCCATACACTAAATTATTTTCAGATTTGAAGCCAAAATCTATGAAAAAAGGCACTTTGAAAAATTGATAAATCACCCCAAATTGCTTAACACGATTTTATCTCAGGAACTACAAGTGCAAATGAGCTGAAATTTTCAGGGATTGTAGTCCTTTAAAAGGGATAAAATTCAGTGAAAGTTTCAGCTTTCTATCTATAATAGAAAAACAGTTATGACCTTTCAAAATTTTCCAAAATCTAAATCATAAGGTAGGTACCTTCTTACTAAAATGATGAAATTTCATTTTTTTTTTTATCGAGATTTTGTATCCTAATGGTCAATCAACATACCCCAAACTCCATACACTAAATTATCCTCAGATTTGAAGCCAAAATCTATGAAAAAAGGCACTCAGAAAAATTGAAAAATTGATAAATCACCCCAAATTGCTTAACACGATTTTATCTCAGGAACTATAAGTGCAAATGAGCTGAAATTTTCAGGGATTGTAGTCCTTTGAAAGGGATAAAATTCAGTGAAAGTTTCAGCTTTCTATCTATAATAGAAAAAAAGTTATGACCTTTCAAAATTTTCCAAAATCTAAATCATAAGGTAGGTACCTTCTTACTAAAATGATGAAATTTCAATTTTTTTTTTATCGAGATTTTGCATCCTAATGGTCAATCAGAATACCCCAAACTCCATACACTAAATTATTCTCAGATTTGAAGCCAAAATCTATGAAAAAAGGCACTCAGAAAAATTGATTAATCACCCCAAATTGCTTAACA